ATATAGAGTTTTGGATACGTGGCGAAACCACATTGAAAAAGTTTGGTTTACAGGAAAGAGAAGTTGAAAAAGACCTTGCATTACTAAATATGTAATCCGCTTATGAATTAGCAAGCAATTGCACATGTGCACACATGGAAATTATATACATCTAATTCGAAATGTACCTCTCTTTAGCGAAAAGAACTAGTACATGGGATAATGTCAAGAGCAATCGCTAATGAAAACAGTAAACTGCTAACTTTGCCTGCTTGGTGCATAAGATTTCAGCAGCATGAATCTTGTCATCAATCAGTAAATATTGACTACGAGCCACGGTTTGTAGTCGCCGCTTTCTCTTTCTTAGTCTGTGTTTTTCCTTTCCTGCACTGCGAGCCAGTTCTTCCACTATGTACCAATCATACCAAGTTAGCACATTCGCAGCGGGACGAAACACAGAGTGCGAGAAACAGAGCTGAGGGCACGGCCGCCGATGTTTGAGTTCTAGGACCAAACATCTAGTACAATAACTGAGGTCACCTCGTACTTCTACAATTTTTATTGTTCCTTTTACTTCAGACCTATATCTCGTCTGTACTGTCAACGATATTCGTAATAAACTCAGCTTCATATTGTTCCTGTTTTTTTTTTTGCGGAACTCACACAAATGTCCCGTTTTATAACGACTGATGAGTAGCTAAAACTTCCTTCAACCACCAACAAGCAACTTTCGTCACCTGCGCTTCTGGAGTCCCCATTGATACTGGCCAGGAGAGTGTGCCTTTGCATTTCAAGATGTTATTCAATGGAGTTTGTTGGCTCATAGTTAAGATTGGTTTGAACACCGGAACTTGATACGAGGCATGAATTTAAGACAGACACGGAACAGACGCTGACGCGGAATACATACACGGAAGACACATACGTGGAAAACATACAAGCTACAGTGACGTGCGTGTCTCTTTTCTTTTAGAAGCGAAGCTCCTTAGGACCTCATGATGTCCATTAGCTCCAATAAGTCCGGGCGCCATGCACAGTTCATGCACAGATGCAAAACATATTTGCGCAAGACAGTCTACAGAGCATACACAGCGCGTATATTGGTTTAAGAAACAAAAGAACACAACGCCATAAAAACACTGACAGCTAACCACCAATCAATGCATAGGACATAGCAAAAGGTTGACACGAACAAGATAATAAAAGGCTGTTAAGCCAGAACAAAACTGGCCACGATTCAAGATCCGATGCACACTGCTCCTCCTCACGAACAGCATTCACTTCGTGTACTTACCTTACTTTTTCTTCTTATCGCTCGTATCAAGTTCCCCTGCTCGAACCAATGTCTGCGTTTCATCCCGTTGTGTCACGTTTTCCTCGGAATTTCCCTCCAGCAGAAACGCGCGTCGTCGTGTTGCAAATATTTGCTTCTTTATCTTAATATCCTTTCGCCGAAGAATCTTGCTTGCCGAGCTCGAGAAACTGCTCTGTGCTCTCGTAAAAAAAAAAAAAAATGTTTCCTGATCCTTTCTCGCTCACAGTGCCGGTCCTCGTGGATTTTTTTTTCTGTTTTGTTGTTTGCACTCGGTTTATCGTCACTTACATTTTCGCTTTCTTTTTTATGGCAAAATTATCTGCTCGTATTATCAGCAACCCTTGCACCTGGTTACCGGTGCTGCTTACCGGTTACCACACTCCATTACTAAATAGGCATTTAGTTCGTCAAAACATACAGAAATTTATATTTATTAAAAGGTAGTATGCTGCAGAACTACTAAGAGCATCTCTTACAGACAATACATATACGCTTTGACCCCGTTACATTCAAAACGCGTTGAGTAGATTGACGTTTCTAAGAGAAGGCGGCTAAATAACCTATCTTAAATATGCGCTGTTCCCGTGTGAATATCAAACTCTCCTCCAGGTATTGTACAAAGCCACACTGTGTCACTTCTTCAAGGTTAATCTTGCTTCTAGCGTGAACAAATAAGAGCAAAAAGAGAAAAGGATAACCTAGCATTACTCTGTATAGTCGGGGCATTCCAATACAGCTCATACAATTCAAATGTCGGAGATAAAGACAACCATCTAGTTTAGGTTTGCTAATATCAACTGCCACCTTATGCGACAACCATTCTGCAATTATATGCCGCTATGCTTGTTTATTGTTGCTGCTAATGCGTGAGCAAAAAAATACTTACAAGTTAATGATTTTCATCTCTATGCCGAACCATTTCGGTCACTGGGTGATGATCTTCGTATAATTGCGTTAAAAGGAAGGCTTGACAAACAGTGTTTCGGGCAAACTACCGTTATTATTTTTTTTTATTAAGAAGTCCTAGCGAAAAATCAGGGCAAGCGAAGATTAGACAGGCGAGTGCGTTCCTGCCATGCTTCTTTTCGTTCATTCTTTCTTTCGTTTTTCTTTGTTTCACTTCTTTCTCTCTTTCTTCTTTCTTTATTTCTACTGTGAATCGGACTGTAATTCCTGCGTGGTCAGCAGAGCAGCACTTCATTTGCTAATGGCAGCAATGACTGCCATGCGTTCGTATCCAGGCAACCACGAAATGCGGCAATGTGAAGGGGCAAGTTGCCTCAATAAGGTCAATAAAGAATCAGATTGCTATGTTACAAACGGCTGATCCTCGACAAGCCGACGACCGCGAGATCATGAATCATTTAGGAAAGGCTCAAATGATAACGAATGTGACCAGTTCACTTTTGAGGGCCTGATTCTTTGCAGTTTTGACACGGCTGGTTTTTTTTTGTTTCTTTTTTTTTGGCCACACCTACGGAGCCAGACACTTGATGGACAACACCAGCATCGCTTGAAAACACGTAGATAACGTGAATGCTGCTTGAAATGCGAGCAAGCCAGCGTGACTGAACAATGTGCGTTGAGATCTTCCCTCTGTTTAACAGAAGCGAGGCAGCGGTTCCCAAAAGCTAGATAAGACCGCGACCTGTACGCATGATGAGTGAATGCAAGAGAGCTTCCTCGAAATGTATCCGTAATCGCGCTCGCCTTTCTTTGCTTCAATGGGCGCTTTAGCGTATGTGTACGCAGTAACCGCTTCCGTTGTTGTGTGCAATCTTCAACGGTACCAGGTATGTTTACTTAGATTTAGGCAGCGAATCAATATTAATGCTGCAGTTTGACGTTCCGAAATCAGGTGAGATGCTGAGGCATGCCACACATTAAGGTACTTGTCCATTTGATTCACCCCGTAATGCTTACAACGGCAAAGAGATCATAAGAAAATGCTCAAAACTTTGTGTGTTCCTGGATATTGCGTTTGTAGCGAAATCGGTTTTATAAAGTATAGCATGATTATTTAATTAGAGATTATTTAATTAATCAATACTTCGATGAAATGCGTAACTATCAGTGGAACGTTCAGCGTAATAAGGTGCATCGAGTGGTTTTCAATGAAGCTTTACTGCCTTCATCTCTTTTGGGGGCATTATATTCAGAGCAGAAATCATCATGCAATAGACAATACAGGGCTAGCGAATAATTAGGTCCAAGTATACCGAACTGACTTTTTGCATTTCGCCCTTATATAAACGCGAAGAGTAACGAATAAGTGAAATAGCTTACCGTCAGTTTGATTGGTGCTATTATCGTCATTGCAGATCACCTCACCGATGAGCAATAATGATGTTACAAACACTGCGGTGATGACGCACATTGCTGCTCTACCGAAAAGCGCTGGTTGAAGAACGACGTTGGCGGAGTGCATTCCTTCCCCTTGCTCTCAGTGGCCGCACGATAAAGGCGCATATCGGTGTTGGGCGACGGTGGCGTTATCGCGAAAATGTCCTATCGTTGCTTCTTTGCGTCGTGCTACGCAGGTGAAAATGGTCTGGAAGTCGATCGATAAAGCGCACCCTGTTTTTCTTCCCGGACATTGCATGACAGCTACGACACGCTGTTGCAGGTCGTGCTTTGTTTGAAGTTCTGTTTTCCATGTCAAGTGCTCCCCTTTGGTTTGAACGTTGTCTGCTTTGTGTTTTTATGGCAGATAATCAGAAGGCCCAGGTCCAAATTCACAATGCTTTTTATTCCTCAAGTGTTCTGTTATTCATCCGGGCTCTTTCGTCAGTTCCTTCTGAACGAGCAGCAGCTCGAGTTGTTTCCACAAATGGGACACCAAAATGAAGCAGTGAATCAATTTAGACTGATCATTTATACACCGAAAATAATGATGTCGTTAATTTAGCATCATAACAGGTTTAAATCATAGAAGTGAAAACATAGGTAAAGATTTAAAATTTTTAAAGTTTCTGGCCGAAATTTTCAGTTATGTCATGGGGACGTCGAAGATTGCAGTTTTACGGTATTTCGACCTTATTGGGACTTTCCGCCCAGTGTAGTATCTGTATGAATTTTTTTTCGCATGTTTTAATTAGGCAGTGTCAGAAACATCGGTGTTGGTCAGCATAGTAGAACACCTGATGCCCACGCGGAAGGTCTGCTTGCGATGCTGGCCTTCATACCATTTATTTGCAATTACCGTGGTTGTTCGCTAACAACCAACGATGCCGGCACATGAATTCCTGCGAGACGAGCTCTCTGACGCTATTGCGTACACAAAACTCGAAGTCGGCTTTCAGGCAGCTACTTATATACTTTTGTGAGGAGTAATGACGCCACTTCTCTTGAAAAAAAATTGAGTGTGGAGCCGGAGCTGCTTCAAACTTCCATAGTACATAGTAGTAAGCATACTACATAGTCGACTACATAGTAGCAGTTATGCACTGCGTGGCTCGTGTGTGCTATCAAAAAATGCGAAGGGCACATGTTAGTACTGCATGCATGTAGATACCTTGTTCAATTTTGTCATCTCGAGCAGAACATTTATTGCGGTATAGATGTGAGCATCGGGGATGTGCAAGGTGCGCCCAGCATCTTCCAGGACGGTGAAAGCTAGCCGCCTTGGATCTACGATTTAGCGAGATCCTTGAAGAAGTGTGGCAGATGGTGGGCTCGTTGATTATTCCTGCTCTGCTTTCGCATTTCATGCCAAATTACAGCGAAAAAAATGTGGCTGACCAGCAGTTACTATTTGGGGTCAAAGGTGGTTCCATATATTTAATGTGCCTCGTTGCATCATTGTCATCTCTTCTCGGGACCACGACAGATTTTAAGTATCTCAGCACAATCTATCGCTCACTTACACGAGGCTGCTCTATGCGGAACAGAAGAGATGAAATATAGAATTTCGCTCCCGATGCCTCGAAGAGAAAATTTGGAAATGTTGGACGCCGTATACGCATGTAATTTCAAAGATTGTATAGGCCTAATGTTTCGTTCCCCTACGGGATTCCCTGGCATGTATCAGGCCTTACAGCCTATAGCCGGGCCAGATGCTGCTAAATCCAGGTGTGGGTCCCGCCAACAGGGTCGCCGTAAGATCATCCACTTGGCGTTGAAGACGCTGCACTTGCTGCTGCGATTGTTCGATCTGGCGATCCAGCGATTCGATGTAGTTGCGCAACTCTTGTATGCAGTTATGGTCGACCAGCCGTTCAGCGCTCACGCTAAGGCCACAGCCTTGATCACAGTGAACCTGCCGCTTGGGGCATTGCTCGCGCTGGTGCACGGACAGCTCCGAGGTACGCATCTGGACGCCGCAGTCTGGGCACGGCGATCTGCGATGCGGGCACGATTCGATATGGCGGTTCAGAGCTTCCATGGCGACCTGCAAATATCGCGCAGGTTTCTTTTACTACTCCCTAAACGTGCCTGTGCAGCTTAGGTATACAAGTGCAATTTTTTAAAGGAGTAGTCACATAACTTGACGCACGTTGCGTTTTCGGTGTCAACTTATAGTTATCAACAGGTACCATCTGATAATGCAAGGAAGGGTTGAATAAATATATTTTATGTTTATTAGCAGCACCACTACTGAGTGAGATTTAAAACGGGTACATAGCTAACGAACTCGCAACGCTGTCGCGCGGCCACTTTACGCGATCACGCCCCATCTCATCCCAAGGCCACACAAAACGGTGACACGAAATTAAGCTGACCTTTCATCTGCTAGGCGCATGCGTATAGTCGTGTGTTCATCACTAACATCGTCGTCACTTGCGTCGTCAGTGTCAGCAAGTGAGCACTGAGGGATTAAAAATTGCCAGGATTCGCGATGTCGCTAATCATTTTCGCACGAAGGAGAGAAAACTCACAGCTTTGCCGCAAAGGCGAAGCAATGAACACGATAGCAACAAATGGGAATGTCACGCGCAGAATGGCAAGCAGATCGAAACGTTCTCCGCGTTTCTCACGCACAAATAACGCCCGAAACGTACTCGCAAGTACAGATGAACGCGAATAAGCGTCTCAGTTGTTACCTCGCTGTGTCTGAAAAGAGCGCCCTTTTCGCAAACGGAGGCCTTGCAACGATTGCAGCAACCTTTGAGCGCCCGGTAACTACAACAAAATCATCATTCCAGTCAAGCCCAACGCCAACCAAGACGTATGATCCCCTACACCGGGAGATAAGGACGCTCGAGAGATCGTTCACTCCCCTCGTCTCCGCGGGCCAAAGTAAGCGTGAGATAGGAGAGCCTCGGCCACGCGCTCATTGCGCCATCTTGTTGATAATGCTGAAAACACGCTAGTTCCCCCCCCCTCCCACCCGAGATGCTCGCCAACAGCGCTAAGTGGTAGATATAAATAGCTTCCGTTTCAACGTTGAAGTGTGTGCTTCCCTGGCTCAGTGGTTAACGCCTCGCCTTCGTGACTCTGAAGTTCCGCGGTCGATTCCGCGCGCAGGAGTCTTTTTCAGATTTTTTTCTTTCTTGCATCTTTATGTATAAATATGTATACATACACGGTGAGTGACGGCAACGAGCACGTTGACGCCGACGCGGGCGGCGAAATCCAGCCGAAAGTGTCCATATAATTGTTATCACAATAAAAGGGCGAAGCATCAGGTCATGCAGCCGGCCTTGGTCAGGCAACCCGTTTTAAAGGCAGTAGTGTCGGCCCAACACGCTACTTTTTGTGTCAAGATCACCAAAGAAATGAAACTTGCCGAGACTTCGAGGTATGGCACTTTTTAACTTTTAACAAAAGCACGCTTGTTCGGCGTAGACCGGCTGCTGGCAGAGGAGGTTCAAAAATGGAACGCCACGAAGAGTACTGAAGCCTCGCACTCTCACGTTTTGATCTCGTGTAGGGCCAACGTTCTGAGCTTCAATCACGTGACGTAATGCTTCTTTATTGATTTTTTCCTCCGCGCATTTCCGCTTCAATCCTTAGCAAAATATTCATTCTAAAATCGGCGCCGGTATGAGAAGCGACGTGAATACACCTACACACACCCGCTTATGATGTGCTGGCTGGTAAGAACACTCTCTCAGAGACAATGTACGGGGGAGAAACCACAGCTGGCACCGTTCGAGGGCACGGACGGACGCGAGTACGAGCCACTAAACGCTTTTGCCTTAAAACAGTGCAGTCAGCACTTCTATTTTTAAATGCAAAACATTTCTTTGTGTGTTGTAAGCACTTTTGGTGCCTATGTATGTATGTATGTATGTATGTATGTATGTATGTATGTATGTATGTATGTATGTATGTATGTATGTATGTATGTATGTATGTATGTATGTATGTATGTATGTATGTATGTATGTATGTATGTATGTATGTATGTATGTATGTATGTATGTATGTATGTATGTATGTATGTATGTATGTATGTATGTATGTAGTGTGTGTCTATCTATCTATCTATCTATCTATCTATCTATCTATCTATCTATCTATCTATCTATCTATCTATCTATCTATCTATCTATCTATCTATCTATCTATCTATCTATCTATCTATCTATCTATCTATCTAATATCTATCTATCTAAACTACTCGCTTTGCGTGAATCAAAATAAGTGAGGAAGGTAAGTGACAAATATGACGCGCTGGCCAAGGCGTGAGAAAGATCACAATCGCGTTGCATACGTCGTCAGACACTTTTCGCCAGGCAGTGGCACACACACACATGCAGGCGGCTATGTGTCACAGGTGATTCGCACTTAGTATCTACCCAGGAACGGCGAGAACACACACTAGTAATCTGAACGCCCGAGCGTTAACAAAAAGCTGACAGTGGTGGTGTCAACACGACGAATGCAAATAACAAATGTCAGGGTCCCAGCAGATATTGAACCCCAGCATTCTACGAGGCAATCAAGCATTCGACCAAAGTGCCACGCCATGTCTTGGAACTACTTTCTAAATTGACCTAACGTTCGTGAAACATCAATTGTGGTTGCAGTTCTGGCTATCTTATTTCGTAAACATTGTATATGTGCTCGTATGATACAGCCATGACGTTGGGTTAACGTCTATTCTAGTTAGTGGCCATCCGCTGAAGCTGATTTATGTATCAATGTCCAGGGCTACCATGCTCGCGAGCACGAGCTCTTCACATCAGCTTATCGCTTCTCGTTTCGCCAATACTCATGTTCCTATTGGCATCGTTGCGCAAACGCAAGCAACTGGTTGAATTAATATCTGCGACAGTCAACGTATGTCCGTGCGTGCAACATTTGTACATATATTTTGCGTCATTTCATGACGTGTCGTATGGTAAAAAAATTACAACAAAGTCACCTTAATTCCCTCCGCTCTTCGCATAACGTCGATTTCAAGGTACGTGGGATCTGCCAAATTTTCGCTGTGTCTGGCTTTAATGTCCCCGTTCAATGTATCGCAGAGACGCTTCACCGCGACAAAGACATTCCTTCTTGCGGTACCCTAAACGCCTCTGATTATGTCAGGCACAGCTGTTTCGCGACACGATCGCACGTAATGCCGTAGAAATCAACGCTTGGAATTGTGACACACTGACGAGCACATGACAAATCGTGCGAAGACGCAAGATTCGAAATAACCAACAAATCAAAGTAAAGCCGCTGCTAGCAATCGCCGTCAGTCGGCACCACAATGACAACACTGACATGTTCGACGTTTTCGTTACTAGCGCATCACCACTCAGCAGCTTTGCCCTCGAAATAAAATAACTTCTGCGTAACGGACGCAATTCATACTTCACTCAAAAAACGTATGCATTTTAAGCAATCACGTGAAGGTCTTAAGTCGAGCCTGACATTTTGGGTCACGGCTCCTTTAAATGTAAGTAAATGCCCGTTATGTCCTGGGAAACATTAAGAGCCACAACGTCAGCATAACGCACTGCAAGCAAGCTGGATGGGAACAGTTGGTCACACGCCGGGCTAAGCAGCGTCTGAAGCTTTTCCATGATGTATACTTATCTCGAACTTGTATTCCTCGTGACAGTTACATCTTTCCACCTCATTACGTGTCAGGACGAGTCGATCACATTTACGAAGTGCGGGAGTACCGATGTAAGACAGCAGCGTTCGGTATTTCTTTTTTCCCTAAAACGGTTTCCCAGTGGAATCGATTATCTTCAGCGATCGTTGTCTCTGTTGGTAGTGATTCATTTTTCTTTTCTTAAAGTCAAATGAATTGTTCAGTTGATGACGGGTGTTTTATTGTGCGGTATACATATTGTATTTGTTTTCGTCTTACTGTATGTTACCAGCTGGCATTTTTCGTACATTTTTGTCAATCTCCATTACGTTGTGTATTCAGTGTACTTTTTACTATCTGGTCAGGCTGTACTGTACTTGCCACAAATTGAGCTTGTGTTCTGTCTTGTAATCACGTTGTATTCCCCCCACCGTAATGCCTTATGGCGCTGTCGGTATCAAATAAATAAAATAAAAATAATAAATAAAGGGCCCCGAAACAGCCTCTGAAAATACGAAAAAAATGAGTGTTTCATTCTCTCCCAGTGTTTTCCGTTCTCGAGGCACAAATTGTGACGTGAGCAGAGCGAGGAAACAGCGTGAAGGCCAAACAAGAATCAATTTCAGAATTCATTGTGTTGAATGTGCATGGCTTCAGTCTTAATTTTGATCAGACTCGCACCTTCGACAGATATTATGATAGCGGCGCTCAAGAAATCCGCGAAGCATTCGCAATTCATTCTATTGGGCCATGACGTGTAAGCTCATCATCGATCGTACTAACCGAAAAAGAAATTATCTCTGACTTGATCATTGCATCATGTACAATTTAGGACGCATGCTTTAGGGCTCCCTTCCATTTTTGTGATTTTTTTCCCATAATGCGCATGTATTTGTGAACCTACGAAATAAACGGTTATGTTGTTAGTGCAAACTCACGTCACTCTCTCTCTTGTCCCACGTGTCTGCGCTGTTACCTGGTAGGAAGCCAAGCTAACAAGCAGAAGCTTATACACTTTTGAAGTATGTGTTAGTGCACGTGTGTAAAACGCAAAGCGACGGACGGATGTCCGAGTAATGTCGGAGTAGACACGAAATAAGAAAAAAAAGGGTGTCTATTGTCCTCGTTAGTCCTGGCTTGCCGCGTAAATGGATTTCTTTAAAGATACACGTTAACTCTGGTCACTCTCCCCCACATCTCCAACGAGAGAAAAATGATCTCTGAAAAAGAGTTTGCCTGCCCCTTTAAGGAGAGTCATTCGTGGTAAGTCAGGACTCTAAAAAGAAAGTAATGAACTTCTCTTTTCTTCTTAGAATGCAGGAGAGGCTACACATTTCGTGGCAACTTGTATCAGCTGAAAAAAAAATCTGCAGTGTCACACGATTCAGCAAGACATCTTTAGAAATCTGTACTCGTGAAGAGCGAAATACCGAATAAGGTATACGCACCCGGGCGTTGCAGCCTATGCCGTGGTTCGGGCACCTCACGTTGAGTCTGGCAATCATGTTATTCACGATGGGCACCACGGGCGTCAGCTGAGATGGGGTGCACCTCTGGCGACACACGGGGCAGCTTCCGGCACCGAGGCCCGTACCGTTCACCAACCAGCCGTGTATGCAATCCGAGCAGAACACGTGGCGGCAGGGGCATTCGACGGGTTCCCGGTACACGCCCAGGCAAACCGAGCACACCAGTTCTTGTGGTGGCCTGGGCTCGAAGTTGTCCACCGAGTAGACGGACGCGTCTGTGGGCAAATCTGTTCGCCGACGGGTGACCCCGGTGGAACTTGGCCCGAAATGCGAGCTGATGGGAATACTGTTCGTCCAGAAGTCCCGCCCGAACGAGGCCATTGTCAATTTGCTGCGAATGAACGTGCATCGAAGTGCTGTTACGCGGGCGTAGTTATTCCTGGTGAGTACTTCGGCGAGACTTGCACTTTAGAGGAGAGTAAATAGAGCGAGTAAGTCTCATTCGTTGCGAAATCACTGCGCCAAATTGAAGTCGGCGTTGAAGTGGACAAATGCGACCAGCTGATCACTGTGTTTGAAAATTTTTAGCCACCGCGCTTGATGCCATTAAAGCAATACCATGACTGGCCATTACGATGCGATGCCTTTGCTTAAATGTTTTGTCTCACCAATATTTCTCTGCTATGTCACAGAATGATGCCTGTGTACATGTTGCTATCGAATCACGTTGAATTACTTACCTTTTTGAGCTGATTCGAGACGAACTCCACCCTTTGTCCTTGAACTCTACCCTTTGCCCAGCTGGTCGCGGCACCTGCGCTCGAGCGCTTCGCGAGCTACTTAGCCCGTGACCGGAATAATGATGATTGTTGATGATATGATGATATTGTTGATAATAATGATGATATACCACTACATGTCCTTATGAGGTAGTATATAATTAAAAAAAAAGAACGCCAGGCCTGTGCGGAAGGCGCAGCACAGTCACAGCGAAACCCAGAAGAGCGGCCTTTCAGAGCATTTTCTAAACACTCATTGGCTATACTGCTGCAAGCCCACTTGCTTGATACCCACTACGGCATTAATAATAAGAAAATTTCTGTCGTAGGCTGGCATTCGCTGGGCTATTTTTCGTCAATCTTCTGAGAAACGTGGTATCCCCTAAACTATTGCGAGGAATTTTACGCCAATTGTTCGTGCAGTGGCTGACGACAATGAGCAATTATGCCCGAAGTGCGTATGCACCACACTTAATAGGTGAACAAGAACAAGCTTTTGCAATGGGTAGAGTATTGGACGACCCACTCGTTACTCTATTCGCAATGCGTGACGACTGGTTGTTCCTTCGCTCTTTTAAAACTCTTTATACGTCGTAATAACGCGATATCTTTCCCGACATAAAGCCTGCGCTTAAGGCAAGTTTGCCAATAAGTTCCAAGCACCGGTGTGGCTCAGTGTTCGGATACTGGGCAGGCACCCAGTGGACCCGGGTTCGAGCCTCTCTGTGACATTAGTACTAATCTTTTTTTTTTCTAATTTCGTGTGGTGTGGTTACGGACAGCGGCGGCGGCAGCGGACAACTATACAGCGCTGCGTGAGACCCGATTGCGTTGTGGTCTCATAACACATTTCGCAGTAAAAAAAAAAAAAAGCCGGGCCTGCCACCGCTGCGGCGGTCTAGTGGCTAAGATACTCAGCTGCTGACCCGCAGGTCACCCGATCGAATCCCAGCTGAGACGGCTGCATTTATTGCATAACTAATGGGAGAAGGCAGCTTTGTGTATTGACGACATTCCCTGCTTCTCACTTGGAAAGCGTGGTTTTGTTTAGTTTTGACATCAGCGCTGTTACTGTTGCGCAGGAATCTCCAAGTACAAAGAAAGTGAACTGTCTGGATCTACGCAATCATAACGCCCCTCCGCGGTGGTCTAGTGTCTAAGGTACTCGGCTGTTGACCCACGGGTCGCGGGATCGAATCCCGGCTGCGGCGGCTGCATTTCTGATGGAGGCGGAAATTTTGTAGGCCCGTGTGCTCAGATTTGGGTGCACGTTAAAGAACCCCAGGTGGTCTATGTTTCCGGAGCCCTCCACTACGGCGTCTCTCATAATCATGGTAGTTTTCGGACGTTAAACCCCGCATATCAAAGTTAAGCCTTCGTGGAATTTATAGCACAGTCACAGCAACAGGACAATTTATTCCGTAGTGATACTAAGAACCCTTGTCTGGCTACGCTGCTTTCGCAGTACCACACTGATCGAGTTGGCTCCCAGAACTTTTTCTCTTGCATGCCCAATTATTTATAACCCTTTACGGCCTGACCATGTTTATTATCATAGCAATTGGTATGTCTCTTTTATATAATTAAATACAGCATCATGTACGCCCCTGCTGCATTGCTCAAGCTCCTACGCCCACAGGGAGAGGAATGTTGATAGAGAGAGCTCAAGGCAACTTTTTTAAGAAGATGGTTTCAGAAATTTTAACGCTGAGTTTTGATATCTGCGATATTGTATGAAAAAGGATCTATTGTTTCTGATTGATCGAAGGGATCGAATCCAGGCCTGTGCAAGTAAAAATTTAATCACGGTGTTCTGCATCGCAGTTTTGTTAGCGCGGTTGATAATGGAGGCTGGCAGAATTTCAGCGCTTAGTGACACTTGTCTGAGCAGTCCATCAGTGATGTTGACAATTAAGGAACCCGATTACATGTATTCGCAATAAACGTTTTGTGGTTAACTACTTGAAAAAATGAAATGCGTGTGATACAGCGTTGTCAAGTGTTGATGCATGCGCGCAGGTTACAATTTATGGTTGTGAGAGCTATGCGCATGTGGTGCTGTGGAGTAGATATACTAGACGGATCTGTGAGTAATAAACTGTTGTTGAAAGTTAGCGCTGTGTTGTCTTGATTTTGACTTCTCTTTTCCATGTGATTTGTAAGTGCTACCATATAATATCGTGCTATCATACCAACAAGCCCAAATCGCCACCCTCGTTGACAACCATGGAGCAACATTTCGTTCAAACAGTCGGCTTGCAAAGTCTCAAGATCATGCGAAACCTTGAGGACGAAGTTTTATAGGAAGCCATACTCATCGTTTCATGTTGATTGATTTCCCAGACTTGCTATATCAGGAGGCGATAGTGTTGTTAACTAATCTGTAGAAGCCTTTTTTGTATGATTCAATAAAAATATTAATTCTTGAGATTTCACAGCATGCTCCTGATGGCACTGGTGAATAATTTATGACTATGTTAAAGCTTAATAATAGTCCGGGCACGGCTGTCCGAGCACGGCTGCATGCGGGGCTTCAATGCCTCCTCATGAATGTTGCCGACTCCATGAATTCACCTGAAAATGCCGAGAAAACGACGCAGTTTGTTATTTACTATGACTCTGTGAGCTATGGTCGAGCGCTGCTCGTCCTCACAGGATTACGCCTAAGAATCTGGTGTACGTTTCCTCCGATAACATTTACGTTTGAGCTGTAACGTGAGTGCCTGTGTTACGTCAGACCAAAAGCTATACTCTTCACATGCCACTGTACAGTCAACGTGTCTGTTAAACTCCCGCCATGATGATCTTTTGGTTACGATGCTCGACTAATAACCTAAAGGTAGCGGGATGAGATCCCGACCGTGGCGGCCGCATTTTGATTCAGCCGAAACGATTGAGGCCCGTTTGCTTAGATTTAGATACACGCTAAGAACACCAGATGGTCAAAAACATTTGTAGCTCTCTATTACGCTTTTCTTCTCATATCGGGACCAAAACATCAATAATTTCTATTATTGACGTGCCGAGTAAGCCCACAGTACACATCATCCATTGCGTTTACTCTAGGACGTTCATATCCGCCTCGAAAGACATGGCTCGAAATCAATAAGGCGGCTGATGCTGATGGCTTGGCGTGAAACAGATTCTCGCAATACGTGGGACCTACCGGAGTTATTTACTGAATGATAACGCCTAACCACTGAGGATTCATACTAACTCTCAGTGTATTCCCCGAGGTCACCCAGTTTCCTGCTACTGTGTAGAGCAAAGAAGCACACGTCAAAGATTATTTTCATACAGCTATGACAGAAAATTTCTTAAACGTGTATCCAGTCTTCAGAGTTATAAAACTGAGACCTTGATTCACATTAGAGACAATTGTATCACATGTTTTCCCACATATAACTGAATCTGCACTCGCGTATAAACATTATCGGTCATATAATTACAAATGTAAATGCTTCGCAGCAGCATAATATTGAACCAAAATTATTCTCTACGCAGTGTCGATTAAGCACACAGGTCATAGCTCCTAGTGAAATCTTTAATGTGTATGCCCAAGACATATGTATTATTGTCCACGCAATAAATAGCACTAATAGCGAATAAAATGTTGTGTGGACACGGATAGCTGTCGAGCTCTTTTCGTAAATTTTCACAAACTTTCTGCAAGCAACACATTACAGCTTTTGGTTACTCTGCTAGTTCCATGTTTTGATGCATAAAATGGTGTAGCTGGCAATCCGTATATATAGGGGATCTGAATAAAAACCGGAATTTCTCCGAAAGCTGAAATTGTGGTGTGCCAGTGGCGAGACTTACTTTTGTTACAAAGACGCTTACATTGTTACTAATCGATTTCTTACTCCTACCTTCACACTGAAATGTCGACAAACGTTTTACTTCATGTTTGCAACCTATTAATCCTAAAGTGGTCTTTCAAAACTGTTTAGCATGGTGAGAAAACATCGCCGATATCTAGCCGAGGTTCTAGAGAACACGTGAGCCAAACGTTATAGCGCAGTGTGCACGTGGCCTGAATTAACAATGCTCAGTCAGCTGGGTATCGTTTGTTTATCTACTAATGATGCCATAGACCTAAATTAGCACGCAATAAACCTAAAGCCTGTGGTTCTTGCCTTATTTGAGCATCGTGAGCTGCTTAGTTACTGCAGCCACCGTGGCATGGCGCGACATACCCTCACGCGCGCTCACAAAAAAGTAAGCCGCATGCTAGAAGAAAATAGGGCTCACGGTCATGACGTGTGCGTGACGCAACTTTTAAAGACGATAGTCTTTCTTGGGGACCTTCGACGCAAAAATTTTGGTCTGTCTGTCTTTCTGTCTGTCTGTACATTTGTGTGTTTGTCTACTCTTAACAGCATCGAGTACTTGAAGCGGCCGACTCCGTCCGCAGCGCCCACCAATGTTGCTCAAGATTCAGCGTTTATACTTGTGCAATCATCCATTAAAAAGCTATTGCGCATGTCTGGGGCACCGTAACAAGACGCATAGATTCTGCATGTGCGTCTTTTACTAGAAAAGGCATACATTAGTAATTTTAAGGACCGTGGTGCTTATCGCGCTGCGCTGACCAAGCAACGTTTGCAAGGCCAGGAGAATGTTTCCAACGCTTTGCTAAAACGAGACGGTGGTGGCACCTACCCGTCGCCTCGCGTTCTACACCTTATCACCTCTGAGACGGGCGCACACACCCGTCTCAGAGTCACGCACTTTGTTTTTGAAGAAAACTGCCAGATGGCGCTCATGTCTCACATGTGACGATTTGATGCGCTCGTTCGCCTCCGCTGCACGCTCGAGACACTTTAACGCAGCGCCTCCAGAATACCATTCACCAATTTTCTTGCGCAGAACATCAAATAAATGTTTTGTTCACTCTCTCCGCACGCAAGACTATTATAGTCTTTCGACGGCATTTGCAGATTACCATGCAGATACGGGGCTAATTTTTTCCCCTGTGCCTTTTTTTCCTGCTTAGTTTCCAGCGTTCTTGTCGGACGAGAGAAGCGACAAAGCCATTACAGCGTCCTACAAATCCCTGTGACTCCGCTCGTACTAGACGGAACCCAACAGTTTTTGCGCAGTCAATTCTTGAGGCAATAAACTCCTTTATTGAAGCCGCTCGATGGTTGCTTGGGAAAGTGCTGCACGGCCCTTTTAACGTAGATTGTTTTTTTTTCAATTGTGGGATAATTCTCATCATAATCAAACAAACAAAATGTTCTGGAATCGAACAAACAAAATGTTCTGGCATGCTCAAAAAAACAGTTTGCCTGTGAGCGAAACGGTGACTGAAGATTTGAGGAAAATTGTGTAGTTATAGTTAAGTTGTGACAGGACGTTAACTGTTTAGGCAGATATCTCATGGCTACAGTTAATATAAAGCGGGACACTGAAACGGAAGTCGAGAACATGCAGGCCTCTTGCCACTGCGGAACGGTGGGGGGAGAAGTGCGCTGTTAGATTCATTTATGATAATGATTATCAGTTACCTTATCATGCTACCACCGTAAACGTCTGGAGCTTACTGAGCAAAATCGAAATTAAAAAATAGCGGCATTGTACATTTGCAGATTAATGTAGCATATCCCACTGCTATCAACTTTTAGACCCACAGGTAAATATCTTTATGCTGAAAATTCCCTGTAGGTATATAGTCCGGAAGGAGCCTTGCAGTGGTGGCAATCAATTTAGGTCACCAACCGGTGTTCTCCTACGTGGACCTATTTCTAAGTACTTTTACGCTGCGGCCAACCACGCTTAAGTAGTGCGAAGACGATGCTCGAGCACAGTAGCCTAGCCACGGTAATGCGTTCACCCCCCCCCCCCCCCCCATCGGAAGCTTTTCTCTCTTACATGTGCATACTTTATATACGCACGCATACAAACACACACGACCTCCCCTTCGTCCCAGGAAAACAATATATCTGGATACACCCCTGCTGGAAGAGGTCAAGTGAGGTCGATGTGCTAGTGTTTTGTTATTCGAGTCCGACGAACTGAGGCTAACCAAGTGTTCCAATCTCACAATTATACTATCTTACGTCAAGGACGCCATAAAAAGAAACCTCAGTCGTCAATCTATTTGATCAAGGCCAAGTAACTCACCTCTCAGCTAGGATTCGGGACGAATGGCACCCGGCTTCTTGTCTCCCAGTGCTCCCACCAAGCCGGACGGGTCGCTGATGCTGGTGATCCACGAGTTTTAGACGGTGATGATTATTTTACATTATCTCGTTAGTTGTTTGGCGAAGGATAAAAAAACACGCACCTGCTCCCCTGCGGCTCATCAGTTAACAGCGAAATTAACTTTAAGTGAAATGTCAATAACGGTAGAGGCCAGAAATAAAATACTACTGCTATGAAAACAACAAAAGGCTGGAAATGACACATGATACTGTTGATGGTGATAGCGATGGTAATTATTAGTATAATGATTATGATGATAAAGCTTGTTTATTGGATTTCAATGCTTGTATTTTTCTCTAATTTGAAAGTCCGGCAGCCGCTTTTGTTATCACTTAGGCCGTGCTAAACTTTTAAGGTTGATGCTAACCGGTATCACGTTACAGAAGCGCACTAGAAGCGATCCAAAATTGTTCAGCTCTATGACTACTCTTCCACCACCAGCATCATAAAAAGTTTCCAGAAAAATATTAGTTTAAAATGGAAGTTCGACATCTCTCCGATGCAGCTGATGTCATCTATTTTATACAAGCATACAAACTGTTGCTCACATTAAGAGGCAACTCAGGTCTATGAGATCCTCAGCATGACTAACTCTTGTAAAGTAAGGCCTTCGAAGAGACTTGGAATGGCACATTTTCTTCACAGTAAAGGTTGCGAAAGCATATACCTTGAGTCCTTGATTTTAAGCGCAGTGTATATGCAAGTTCAGATTTGAGTGAAATAACGCAAAGCGACAGGCGATAATGCGTCGAGCAGTAAAATAATGCATGTCGTTTCGTTGTCTCGTCTGTTTCTGATGCACGAGAGCAAAGACATCCAGACAAGTACCTTTCTAATATCTGTACAGGTTTAATCGCAAAAAGACATTCTCGCTCAGTCCCGTTTCCGGATTCCCAGTGTGATGTCCTTGGCAGTGAGGACGCTGAAACCGTTTTGGAATTCCAGAGGAACCTGCAAATAAGAGTAGTGTCTCGATAACTTTTTCTGCTATTACAACCCTAACGACACATGAGATTGTAGATCAGTGGTTAAAACACAGATTACGAAGGGATATATATACTCCAACATTGGCAATGGGACGCCCCTGTAGAAATTATGGGTCACTTAAAAAATTTTTGTTCTTTTGTGAGTCGTCAATTTCTAGCTGCTACTTTTTACGGACATCTGGAACTTCATCATTTTTTTGGTGCACGTTCCGCGCTCAAGTCAATCACTCACAACGAAGGGTTACATTATCCGCAAATAATTTATCAAATGGAACCATGGCACAGAGTTTCGTATCATCGCCTTTTATATTTCTTTGTACCATGGTATATAACACAAATAGAGCCGACAAAAACAGTAGTACGATTTCAAACCGCCTCATTATTCATCTAACGTTAGTGTTGCAGTTGCTCGAACAGTTACATCACCCAACAACCCTTTCTCGCATATATCACGTGTCCGCATCTTTTTTTTTCTTTCTTTTTCGACACCAAGCGTTAGCCTTATTTCATCCGGTGCAATATTTTTATAGTGCTGACACATTTGTATTCACGAATCCATAACCTAGCCAGACCACGTAAATGCGTATTCTCTTTTATTTATGAAACAATGTCAACCTCCAAAGCTACTCCCAGAGTGTCGCAAGAATTTCCCAGGTGGCTTATCTGCTGGAAGCTATTGTCGTGCTCGTTCTCTGAAACCAGGTGATCTTGACACATCGTTTTGTTTGACCAATGTCCTCAGGCTGCTACGTTTGGCTGCTGCGGGTTCGAATCCCGGCTGCGGCGGCTGCATTTCCGATGGAGGCGGAAATGTTGTAGGCCCGTGTGCTCAGATTTGGGTGCACGTTAAAGAACTCCAGGTGGTCTAAATTTCCGGAGCCCTCCACTACGGCGTCTCTCATAATCATATAGTGGCTTTGGGACGTTAAACCCCACATATCAATCAAACGTTTGGCTGCTACGTTAGTGGGATATTGCCACCACTTTCTTTTCGCATTCAGGAAAGTTTCGCTCATATTCTGTTACGAATGATTTGTTAATGTTTTTATTTGTTCATTGTACCTTTGCTGGCATGTGAAATTGGACTAGGCGTCAACGTGGCTGTTTGCACGTTAAACGGTGCTATAGCTGCAAAACTTCAATAGAAATTGTATACAAGCTCTTATATACTACTACCCAATAAGCACTACTTCTATGAAGACACATTTACCTTCCGTGCTTTTCCAATTCCTATGACGGAGGGATCAACAAAGGTTATATATATATATATATATATATATATATATATATATATATATATATATATATATATATATATTCACTCTTCCCTTTTTCTCTCACTCTTCCTCTTTCATTTAGAGTTTTCTTTGTTCTCTTCTTTTTTCCCATCTAGTTCTGTCCAGTTGTCTGTTATTTCTATCACTTTGTATACATGCTTCGTTGTGTCTCTTTTTCTCTCTGTCTGTGTGGATCTCAGTGCTTAAACTTTTTTGTATTTCCCGTTTCTTTTTTTCTCTGTTTTTTCCCACGTATCTTTTTATCTTTCTTTTTTTGCTCCATCTCTGCACTCGTTTTATCGTCCGTCCCAGTCATAGCGGCATCCCACGTTGGACATCCACGCCGGGAAAGCACGCAGAGCACGTGTGTTCGGAGGGGGGGGGGGGGGCAAAGGTGAAGATGAAGAGGACAAAGATAGCGTGTGGAATTCACGATGATGATAGTTTTTTGTAGAAGTGAACAGGGCTTTTGTGAAGCTTAAATAGCTCCGCTATCAAAACCGCTTTAACATAATGCATGTTCATTAGCGACCTTTTTACGGTTTCTGAGACAGTAAGAGAGAGAATATTTAGACAGCATGGAGGTCAGCCTGATCCAGTGCGCTCTAGCCTAGTACTCTGCACAAGGGAACATTACACGGAAGAGAAAAATAAAGATGATGGGTGACGATGGAGACAGGAAGGCATTATGTGTACATACAATCGTAATGTAACATGGTGGTTTAGCTAAAATTAGTGTGCCGTTTTGCGCTCCCAAGTAAATATAAACTGCTTTTGTGATCACACACTGCTGACAAATACCACTTTTACTTCGTGTAGTCATGCTGATTACAGCCATTGTTGAAGCTAGAGTTTTTACTGGGACATGTGAAGAATGCAATCGCAAAATAAAGGCGCTGTTGTTTTATACACTTGGAAGCGCTCACAGTTACTGAATGCGTCTCTGGCCTGTCCGTTCTCCTGCCGATTCTTATAGAGCGAGAACGGATCGACGACAAAGAGAGGAGAAGGCAAGCGCTCGTCTTCTTCTTGTCCCTTTGTCGTCGTTGTCTTCTCGCTCTAAAACAATCGTCATGTCATATCAACTAGCCCAAACCACCACGCTTCTAAGTTACGTTCTCCTGCATTACCATGTTGTGCGGTGGTGCATCAAAGTTGTACAGTCATGGACAACCTAAGCTGAAACAAAATAACAGCAGAGGACAGATGGAAGGTTACCGCGAGATAAAACATGTGCTCGAGAGTGCCCTGCACTGCGGCCATGTGAACAGCCGCTCCCGAACACACGTCGAACATCTCCGCAGCTTTTCCTCGTCATGGATTGGCCATGCCGTCAGTATGTGATCGACTGATGTTATTTTTTTTAGTTTAGGCTGTCCATCACTGCACTAGCCCACCAAAGGAGAAAAAAAAATAGGTTGTTTGGAGAACAACCCTCTTTATATATTTTTTTCATATCTATTCTCAAACTCGAAGCCCACCTGTGGCAGCGTAACTTAGTTTGCCCTTTGAATCATGCATGACAAAGGCAAAATCTTCATAATATTGTTCCTGAGTAGTTTAGGTTCACACTTAGTGATGACTATTTCTTCTCTTGTCAGTTAGATCCAGTAGGCATGTTTGTTCCAAGCTGGATCAGTATTCTCTATCCAACACCACTAAAGTTCATTTGCTAGTCAGTTCTCACACGTGCGTTCGCACTGAAATCTGCATGAGTGCGTTTGTGCAGAAGCATAGGTGTATGCAGGCACAGAGTGCATTAAAGCTGTCTTTGATGTTTTCTTCGTCACGAAGGGACACCAAGAGATGCTTTACACAGCACCAAACATTTCGCTACAAGAATAACACGAGGAATAAGTAAACGCGGGCAGTAATTTTCCGTGCGTGCTTATAGCATCCTTACTCCAAGTTAGTTTTCGCCAACTGCTAGCTTATGGTCAAATGTCCTGCAATATACTCGTGCACATGGGCTGCGCACGTACGCAAGGATTCCTACTAACCTTCGTCTTTTCCGTGCGAACCACCTTGATGTTGCGAATAGTGTGCAGAATAGAAAGCTTGACAGCTTGCAGGGCGAACCGCATGCCAATGCAGTTTCGCGGCCCAGCGCCGAATGGCAGATACGTGTACGGCTGGATGGAATCCACGTTCTCGTCACTGAACCTGCAACGAGGGTTGTTACTTTGGCATAAAAAAATTATGTACCATGATGACGTAGCTGCTAGTTCGTTTACGGCCAATGTTCCTAACGAAAAAATATTAAAAACAAGAAATCAAGACAGCACCAAAGAACAAGAAGGGTTATGTGCTGTGGTGTTGTAAACTGCTCCACATATCTTAACACCATTTTGTTCAAATGCCGTGCAATGTATGCCTGATTGATAGTGAAATAAATGATATATGCACGCTGTTTGCCTTTCTGAGGTGGTCTTGAAAGGCGAGCTCAGGTGAACAATAGCCGGCAGTTTTGAAGGATATGAGTCACCAAGGTGGTAATCTTAGGACGCTGGTAGTTCATTTCTGTGAGCAGTAAAAGTGCACTGGAAACCAGTTGTCATAAAACGCGCGCGTGCGCGTGCGCGCGTGTGTGTGTGTGTGTGTGTGTGTGTGTGTGTGTGTGTGTGTGTGTGTGTGTGTGTGTGTGTGTGTGTGTGTGTGTGTGTGTGTGTGTGTGTGTGTGTGTGTGTGTGTGTGTTCCTTCGCAGCACAATCGTCTGTAGTCCGCTTTCACCCTTTGAAAAAGTAGAAGCCCACGTTAAGTCCAACATAGCCTCCGATATATGATTATCAGATTGTACACGTAGGTTACTAGCGCGCGCCTGTGTCTTCTGGGCTTTCGTTGTCTCCTTTTTGTACATTTTGTATATTAACGCACCCACAGTGTTAACAGTACACCTTGTAGTCTAAGAAGTACAATGCACCATATCAATGTCTTCATTTGAAGTTTCTGTGCTTACCTGTCGGGGTCAAACTTGTAAGGATCAGGGAAGTACTGCGGGTCATGGTGCATGGAGTACACGGGGATTCCAATCAGATCACCTTTCTTCACCTTGATTCCTGTGTCTCCCAGAACGTAGTCTTCTAAAGGAGATCGCTCAACTCTGTCGAAATAAAATGAACAGTAAGGTATCATTTGTGCATAGTGTTTGCCGAGGTCTGAAGCTCTGTTCCCACAGATACCACTTTGCTTTGAAAACTCTGTAAGAGTGTTCACACATGCTGCTCCTGTGTTGGAGTAATTATTTCCTCCTGTACTAACATAAGTGTCAAGAAACCAATCGGACCAAACCTGGTCAACACCTTTCGATTTTCATATCAGCGTGTATTTTGGGCCCTGTTCGAAACAAGTGGTTATTGTCTTAACCGAAATCAGTACATTCTATTTGTCATTATTATGTGTCAGTTTTGAATGTGATGACGTTAGAATAGATAAATATTGAAGACGCAAGTTTACGTGTATGAGAACACAGTATCAGTGAAATGTATTGTTTGTACATATATATTACAACACTAAGTTTTGTTTTTCAAACAAGTGAATACTTATTGACTCAAGTACTAATTGACACAACAGGTCGGCGAATATAAAATTTCCTCAACGACATCAAGAATTTCGCTTGAATATCTAGCTTGAATACTGAAATGAGCACAAGTACAGCTATTAGATATCAAGTCTTCCACAACGAGAGAAAAGAAAGCCCGAGCTAGTTCGTAATAGGAATACCAGCAATGCTGAGGTTGAGGTTGCAGACATCGTGTTTTATGTTGAATCAGGTGGCAATTGTTTCTGCCGCTAACATTTTAGTATATCTGCGTATCAAGTACCATTACCTTGTGGCTGGAGGATACAGGCGAAGAGCCTCGGAGACAACTCCATGAAGGTACTTGAGCTTCGTGATCACATCCAGGCTGGGGTGTTCTCCCTGGTCCGCACATGGAAAACAGCAAGGCATCATAGAATATTCAGAGGTAGACTGCATGAACTTATACGAGGCTCCTCCCTTAAGTGTAATTGCATTTATTTATTTTTTTCGATTGTGTTGCTTCGGGCACAAAGATCTACCGTCTTGCCGTAGAGTTCATTTGATCGGTATAACCTTTATTTTACATCTAATAAAGGTTCTGCATCACCGGTTCTAAAATATCGACAGCCAAAGGCCCTGATCAAGGAGGAATTCGTATAAGTACATCGCATGAAATTCGGCTGGGTTATATTTGTAGTAAGAGTTCCTGATTTTCTAGATGAACTGGCTCCTACTCCAAGTGCGCGTGCATTTCCTTTCTGTTCAAGATCACCCGATTTCCACTAATGTAAACTTTCCGAGACGGCAAGGTACACACAGAATAGATATCACTCCAGGTTGATGGCCTGCTTTATGGTCTGCTTTGTTTTGCCAGTAACCCACACTTGCTCCCACTAAGCAATTCAATTAATGGCGTAAATATTTAGCTAACCCAGCGGTTTTTGTTCCCGTGCCTTAAAGGTCACCAAAGGTATTTCGGCTGAGGCCCGCAATAAAATTTCGCCTGTAATCCTATCATGAGCCCGAGGTAATCTTTCAGGATACCTGAAAGCGCTACGATGCGTTTAGCTTTCAAAGAAAAAATAAACTGTCAGCAGTTGTTAAATATTACTACTATGAACACTGCCACATATTTCACAATATTTCATAAGCCTGCTCACCTGTATATGCTAATTGCTCAAAATATTCCTTTTTATAAATTTCTCATTTAAGTTTAACCTTTTATTGACTTGTCATTTCAGGAACGTCTTCTGTCAATATGAGAAAGCATGCATTTTTATGAACGTCTTCATTCTAGTGATACTCAATAAGTTAATAAATAATTAAATAAGCAAAGTAAAGCACTTGAGGTAGCGCACAGCAGGCAGTACACAGAAGGAGTTATGCGACACTTGTGCATGGTCACTGCTCGCATCTTATTCAGTATAAACTGATATAAACATACCAAATTGTAAACTTTCTTGCATCCTACTCAACATTACACTCAAGCACATACTTGGTCAGCATACGTGAATATTGAAGCACTCGTCGACTTCTTCCCTCAGCCTTTCCTGTGCCTCTGGATTGATTGCCAGCAGATACAGCGTGTAAGAGATCACAGACGATGACGTGTCCTGGCCAGCGAAGAAGAAGAGAACGCACTGCGCCAGGGCTTCGTCTTCACTCAGTGCTGAAATAAGAAAGTTCGTCACGACGTTTGAAATCATTGAAGCACTGTTAAGAAACAGTCTTTTTAACTTATGAAAATGTTTTTTTTTGTTTATTCAACGCAGAAAGTTTGAATATTGACTAGTAACCCGTTAGTTTCTTTAAATCCTTAGTAATTTCTGCACACATAAGTTTCGCCACCTGGCTCACAATCAAGTAGCTGCGGGGGAAACATTGAATTTAAAAGGGCCCTGCAACACTTTTGAGAATGGTCAGAAAAAAAATTGCCCGCAGCTTCCCTCGGGGGAACACTGAGGAGGATGCGGAGCATATAATTGGTTAACGGGGTGTTAAAGTGCGACTTACTTGGGTCGATGGCTAAATTGGTTAACGTGGTTGTGAAATGGGGTGTTAAATTGCGACTTACTTGGGTCGCTGGCTAAATTGGTTAACGTGGTTGGAGGGGTGTTAAATGAGTGAACACGTACGACACGTATCCCGTTTTCGAAAGTCCGGGTCCTCTTGTCGACGCTTACGTTTCAAAGCGGCCGAATCCGGTGCTGCTGCTCGACGCTGACGTCTCTCAGCGGCTTCACGTTCTCTAAGTTGAGCATCTTCCGCTCGACGCCGACGTTTACGCTCGGCGTCGCGAGCTCTTCTCCGCGCTGCCTTGTCTTCGGACGACGACTTGGTTGCGGTTCCGCCAACACTTTGGCCGGCGCTGGTCGAAGGGACGTCGATCATTGCGACCTCGGACGTCGACGCGCCGTACAAACCAACCGACGAGCGGCAACTGAGCGAGCGAGCACCGACCTTGAGTATATATACAGCGCGACGGCGCATGCACTGTCAGCTGTCGAATGTTCGAGAAGGGGGAGAAGCGCAACGGCGCATGCGCGCGCGTCAGCTGCCGATGTTCTCGAAGCGCGACGGCGCATGCGCGCGCGTCAGCTGCCGATGTTCTCGAAGCGTGACGGCGCATGCGCGCTACATTATACAGCTAGCGAATGTTCGTGAAGAGGAGAAGCACACGCGGTGTGTAGAGGAGGAAGGGTGCACAGATGGTGGAGGAGTGAAGCGCGCGCGGTGTGTAGAGGAGGAAGGGATGCACAGATGGTGGAAGAAGGAGGAGGAAGCTTGCGGACGGCGCCGCACTACAAGCCTCGAGTATTAGATGCTCCGCATCTAAAAACTGCTGATCGGCAGTATATAGAGGCTCTCGAGAACACGCGAGCTAAATATTACAACACAGCCCGCGGCCTGGGATTCGCAATAAATTATAAAAATCAGCTAAAAATCAGCTTTCTCCTCTCTCGACAAATGACGCAAGACGCTCAAAAAAGCACTAGTAGAAGACCTTCTATCAGTCGTTGACTGATTTGATAATGGCGCGCTTGGTTGGTATAAGAGACAAAGTGGGAGGCTGCGACTTGTCCCCGCGCGCGCGCGATCACACTGGAAAAGCCGCGTATTCGAAGAAAAAAGAAAGAAAGAAGTGCTCAAGGTCACAAGGTGCACATTGCGTGTTTTTTTGTTGTTTGTTTTTGCCCCTGCCTTCTCTCCCTGCTAGGCTTCCGGCGCTTTCGTCGGGACGGGAGAAAAGAGAATGCGATTGCAGCGCGTGACAAATCTTCGCAACTCAGCGCGTGACAAATATTCAAAAACTCCGCTCGTACCGTGACGCAATAAGCTCTTTTACTGAATCCACTCTATGCTTACCTAAAGAAGTGCTTCAGGGCCCCTTTCACGTAACAATTTTTTTTATGAACAGACTGTATGCAATCTTAATTCTGACAGCCCGCGGCACACGTTTCGGTATGTCGCATAAAAGTACAAATACCGACGGTTCTTGTATGCAATATTCTTACAGTCAACTGGGTACTAGAACGCTAGCTGTCTGTTGAGCTACAAATCAACATGTTCTTTTTTCGGCCTAGAACACTATTAAGTTATAAATTTTGTAGCTTCTCGCCAGAAAACACACACAAAAAAACAAGTGTGTTCTATCAAGTCCAGTTGTACTTTAGTTGGCTAGCCCATCGATTTTACAAACGCGATCAGTAATATACTAACGATGAAGCGCTGAGTGACTTTCTGCCCAGTCATCTCATATGTCACATTTCGAAAATATTCATGGAACGAAGACAAACTCGCTTAAAGTGCATATGGCTCCGAGATCTCGACTTCCTTTTCCGGGATTTGCATCCTCCGGTACTGCAAGAAAATTTCCCTGTAGTGAGCACCTGGGCACTCTACGTGAAGTTCAAGTAGTGTTGCAGTTCAGCTGCGGTGAGATTTTCACGTTATCGTGGTCTGTTCTCATCTTTCTAGCGCTGTCCGTGTTTCTCGATAACACCGTTTTTTTTTTTTTTAACAAGGTGCTCAGAAAAAAACAAGGCAGTCAGAGGAACATACTTTTGTCCGACGAAAACGAAGCGTCGGGTTTCAGTTCTGAGCCGAGATTGAAAAGTCGGTTGTCCCGTTCAGATGTGTTCTCCGCTGCCGATGAAAGTTTTCCTTCCTTGGCATCCATCATGAGTTGTAGAAAGTCCTCGTTTCGCTGAGAGAGTGAGAGAACATCTTTAAAGTGTGAAAAAAGCGTTGGATTATTAGCTCTTTTTTGCGAGACAACTAATAAATTTAGTCCAAGAAAATTAAAGCCAGAATGTGGATAACAGTACAGCTGCATTTCCGATGGAGGCGGAAATGTCCTAGGCCCGTGTGCTCAGATTTGGGTGCACGTTAAAGAACCGCAGGTGGTCGAAATTTCCGGAGCCCTCCACTACGGCGTCTCTCAAAATCATATGGTGGTTTTGGGACGTTAAACCCCACAAATCAATCAATAGATAACAGTACAGAGTATACAACGTATTGTATGTGTACAGCATGTGTACAGTGCGCACACATGCTGAGGAAACGAGGACGAACTGTGCGCACACACGTGTCATGAGGTTGTATAGGACGGAGCTGAAAAGTGAACCTTATAGTTCTCCGGTGCTAGCATTTTTTTGAAGCCTACGTGACATCTTTCGCTTAAACCATAAAATGTGAGAACAAGCGTTCGACACCCTTTCTTGTAATCACAGTGGTCGTAAAGAATTCGTGAGATAGTCATTGACTTCTCTGATATAGTACGGCTTGTTTTCGTGACCCATGCTAAAAACATAATGATGGGTCAATGTGTCTCCGTGTGATAAACACGGTTGGTATAGTCATCACAATCGTCATCAATATTACCAGCAATATTACCAGTCCAAATTGGGACGAACGCCTCTCCCAATTATCTCCGATGTATTCTATCCTGTGCGATCATAGTTCTGTTGCTTTTTTTTTTTAGTGCGAGCTTCTCAGTTGTTTAGTGCGAGCTCCTCAGTTTCGTCATTCACTCTAAGCTTCTGCCGTTCTAGACGGCATTTTTGATCCATTGGTACTCCCTCCGTAGTTATAACTAAGCAGTCCTTTCCTGCGCATCATGTGCCCGGCCCAGGTCCCCTTTTCTCTCGCTGAATGTTAGCTAGAACATCTCCGTTAATTCTTTGACCTATCCCGCTGCCTTCCGATCTCTTAGCTTTAGGCATAACTGCAGATTCTGTCTTACTTTGTTGGTGGTTCAGAATAAGCCTACTACAAACGTTGCACAGGAGAGCAGTGCTGTTATGGCACGTGCCGTCTGCAGAAGTTGACAATCAGCAATCGGTATGCGCAAGCTTTGCTTCCATGTCAGCTTCTAATCAACATTTTACGAGTGATCAGAAGCTTTACTTACAGATTGTTTGTCCTGTCGCCCCTTGATAATGTTCAAGCATATCTCTTTGAAGTAGAGAAATATGTCCGTATTAAATGGTCGTAGTCCGAGTATTCTTGCTATAGCCGGGAATACAACTGAAGAAGAAGACATAAGGAATTGCAGACCTAAATTAATGAATATTGGACGTCAGTAAATGTTGTGATTAACCTCAAGGACAAGCTCTAGCACAAACTGTCGGTGCTGTCAGCAACAGCCACATAACAGTAAAAAGTGCTTCATTTTTCTCGAGATATGCTACCATTGTAGTGTTAAAATATGAAGCTCGTTGTTATCGTTGTACAATTAGATGACAGGGACAGAAATGAAGATGTATTAAGCATTAGTGCGAAATAGTATGACTACTTACAAAATACAAAAAGTCGTGGGGTGATGCGTCCTGAAAAGGCCTGTCGTGTTTTTGTGACGAACGCGTTAGTTTGGTCCGAGTGAGAGTCCAACCTCGTGCCGAAAGCGCATCTCGCTATTACGTCCACCGCATAGTTACCGAAGAACCTGAGTGTCAAAAAAAGTGAAAAGGTCAGATGTCGAAGGTCAACATAATCAACGCCACTACAGACATCAACGTCATCATCCCATTCTCTGTCCACTGCAGGAAGAACGCCTTCCCAGGGATCTCAAGCCTTTTCACGCTTCGCAACTCCCTGAACTGTCAGATTCTCGGGCGTCTTGGGCTGCACTTCCCATACCTTGGTGCCCATTCTGCAGCTTCAGGAGTTTTAAGCTGATTGTCCAACGTATTACCAGAGTCCTTCGATACCTTTGCCGATCATGAATCTTCGGCGAAAGTTAGATATAGGGACAGGAGCAACCGTTAGGGGCGCCCTCGCCCACAGTGGGGTAGGGTGCCTCGATGCGCGCTTCCGCGGAGGAGCGGGTGTCGAGGCACTCTACAGCGGTGTATCGAAGTGGCCGTGGCACTGCAATTGTACCACACGCGCTGGAGCTGTGAAAGGTTAATAAATTTAGCTGCTAAAGTACAGTGGTTTCACCGTTTGACCGCGTATATCCAGCCGTTCAGGCTATATATATATATATATATATATATATATATATATATATATTGACCCGTGTCTACATGTGGACAAAAACGATGATGGGGGGGATTTAGCAGACACCAGGTAGTGGGCCTCTGGCTTGACGCGAGAACGAAGAAGATCTTGTGGCTCAGCTGTTGAGAACACGCTGCTTTCGCTGCCTCAAGGCGTACTTGTGCTTTGTTCGCGTTGTACTGCGACACTGGTGGAGGTGCTGGCCCGCGACCCCGCCTGATGCTCCACACTCCCACGGGGAGCCGTTCATCCAGCCCAGAAGCACTTGTCAACACTCCCGTGCATCGCTTCAGCCGTCGCTTGCGAGGCCTCCTTCCAGAGTTCACTCTCTCACAGGAACACTCTACAAAGCACCGCTCAGATCTACCAATGGCCACCGCCAATCCACAACAGTTACTACGAGACAGTAGTTTGCCAACCCCATCTCAGGTAACCTTTTTTTCACCGCTGGTGCCTGATCGCTTTGGTGGTGGAGCACATGAAGACGTCGAAGAATGGCTTGATCACTATGAACGTGTCGCTAACACCAACCAGTGGTCTCTTGAACAAAGGCTTTCCCACGCCTATTTTTATCTCGACGACAGCGCTAAAACTTGGTACGAGAACAGAGAAGGCAGTTTGTCATCATGGAGCGACTTTAAAAAAGGGATGATTGACACATTTGCCGATGTCGACCGGCGCGAACGTGCGCAGCATTACTCGAGCTACGGGTTCAGAAACCCAATGAAACGGTCGCAATGTTCGCTGAGGACATGGCCCGTCTCTTCCGTAAAGCTGACTCGCACATGACCGACGACAAAAAGTTGCGCTACCTCATGCGCGGCGTTAAAGAGCAACTGTTCGCCGGACTTTTGCGGAACCCGCCAAGCACCGTGACAGACTTCATCAAAGAAGCTACGGCTATCGAACGGGCGCTTCACCTACGATGCCGACAATACGATCGCTTGTCCAGCAGCGCCCACATGCAAGTCGCCGCTACGGCATCTGACCATCAAAGCTCGTTGCGCGATTTGATAAGAGAGATTGTTCGCGAAGAGCTGCTGAAGTTCCGGAATCTGGTCACGGAACCACCCACGGCGTCTGTCGCTGAAGTCGTCCGCGAAGAAATACGCCAAGCGTTTTCAACAGCTGATCCTACTGACGATCAGCGACCTATGAGCTACGCAGCCGCGCTTCGCCACCCGCCGCCCGTTGCGCCGTCGTACCGCCAGCCATCGGCAGCCGTTCCTTGGTCGCCACAAGCACAGGCACCGCGACGACCTGCCGTCGTACCGCCGTACGAAATGCCGCCGTACCAAGAGCCGTCTCCCAACGAGACACGGCATTTGCCACATTACGAGCCATTGCGGCGTCCACAGCTTCGTAAAACAGACGCCTGGCGCACTGTAGATAGGCGCCCGCTTTGTTTTACCTGCGGAGGTGTGGGCCACATTTCCCGCCATTGCTGGCACCGCGTAGATATGTTTCGACTTCTTCGGCAATGGTCTGCAATCGACGCGCCAACGACGGCTACGCATCACGCCGGGACACTCATTCTCAAGGACTCCCCTTGTCTCAGTCCCGTTTTGACAACCGCCGTGCCAATAACGACGACAGTGTGCCTGATTACCAGCCACGTTTGGGACGTCAACCACGCTCTCCGTCTCCGGCATATTCGCCTTCGTCGCGCCACCGAACTACAGCCGACGTCAGTGGAAGGAGGTCACCAAGTCCACGCCGGGGAAACTGAAGGCGGCGACCTCCGGGGGTGAGGTTGCAGGCCGTCAAGGCGACGAAAAAAAGCCCCCGTTACTTGTACCACAGGACGCCGTAAAGCCGAAAAGTTGTAACACCGACGAAAATGTGACCACAGATCTTTCCGTTTCGGTAGACGGACAGCAAGTAACAGCCTTAGCTGACACCGGCGCCGACTTTTCTATCATAAGTGAAAACCTTGCCGTACGCCTAAAAAAAGTGAAGACTACGTGGACGGGACCTCACCTGAGGACAGCAGGCGGCCAGCTGTTGATGCCTGTCGGAAGGTGTACAGCAAGACTCGACATCGGTGGCTCTTCTTTCGTGGCGACATTTGTCATCCTCACCTCGTGTTGCAAGGACTTGATCATAGGGATGGACTTCTTAAGAGAATATGGTGCCGTCATCAACATCCCGGACCGTTCAATTACATTCCGCAACAGCCCTGGTTTAGTTGACTGTTCAGACGCAATAAGCAACACTTTACGTATAATTGATGATGATGTGGTCGTCCCGCCCCGGTCATGTACACTTGTTTCAGTAGAAGGCGACGAAGCGTTTGATGGCGAAGGCATTGCTGACCGAATTGGCTCGCTGCTATTTAGTCATGGCATTTTGGTCGCACGAGGTATCGTCCGTCTCACTGATGGACGCACGAATTTACTTCTGACGAACTTTAGTGCTGATCGACGGCACCTTCCGAAGGGCACAGCTATCGCTTCGTACGACAATATTGTAGAAATGCGAGGCAGTTTATGTTTGTCGGTATTGGACGAAGAGCCTTATCAAGAACCAGAACCCATTCTCGATGTTGGCACCACTCTGTCAAAGGACGAGCGACAGAGACTTCTTCAGCTGCTAGCCGAATTCCGCGACTGCTTTTCAACGACATCACGAGTTGGTCGAACACCTTTGACAAAGCACCGAATAATCACCGAGGACACGGTGAGACCTATCCACCAGAACCCTTATCGCGTAGCTTCAAAGGAACGCGAAGCCATACAACAACAAGTCGCGAAAATGCTTGCTGATGACGTCATTCAGCCATCGCAGAGCCCCTGGGCATCGCCTGTAGTGCTAGTAAAGAAAAAGGACGGCACCCTGCGTTTTTGCGTGGACTACAGGAAGCTGAATCGGGTGACCAAGAAAGATGTGTACCCGCTCCCACGTATTGATGACTCCCTTGACAGACTTCGGCACGCTCGCTACTTTTCTTCCATGGACCTGAGGAGTGGTTACTGGCCGATCGAGGTAGACCCAAGAGACCGAGAGAAAACCGCTTTTGTGACCCCAGATGGTTTATATGAATTTAAAGTCTTGCCTTTCGGTTTGTGCTCCGCGCCCGCAACTTTTCAAAGGCTTATGGACACGGTACTTTCGGGATTGAAGTGGAAGACGTTCCTAGTCTATCTGGACGACGTTATAGTGTTTTCGACCACTTTTGACGAGCATCTCAAGAGGCTGGAAGTTGTTTTACGTGCCATACGGTTCGCGGGCCTAACATTGAAACCAGAAAAGTGCCATTTCTGTTTTCACGAACTTCAGTTTCTCGGTCACGTCGTCAGCAACGCAGGCGTCCGGCCCGATCCTGGAAAAATTGCCGCCGTCGCACAGTTCCCAGTACCCTCCAATAAGAAGGCTGTCAGACGCTTCCTAGGCCTTTGTGCCTAATATCGCCGGTTTATCGCAGACTTCGCCCGCATCGCGTCGCCACTAACTCGTCTCACAAGAGATGATGTTGCCTTTGAGTGGAAAGAAGAACAGGAGGCTGCCTTTAATGACCTGCGTCAACGTCTCCAAACGCCCCCTGTGCTCGCCCACTTCGACGAAGAAGCCCCGACGATGCTTCACACAGACGCTAGCAATGTAGGTCTTGGGGCTGTGCTTGTGCAACAGCAAGAGGACACAGAAAGAGTGATCGCCTACGCAAGCCGAACGCTAACACGCGCAGAGGCTAACTATTCAACAACAGAGAAAGAATGCCTCGCCGTAGTATGGGCAGTAATGAAATTTCGCCCGTACTTGTATGGCCGACACTTCAAAGTTATTAGTGACCATCACTCCCTTTGCTGGTTAACTAATCTAAAAGATCCCACCGGCCGATTAGCGCGTTGGAGCCTAAAACTGCAAGAGTTTGACATGACGCTCGTGCACAAGTCAGGCAAGCGACATATGGACGCTGACTGTCTGTCCCGTTCACCCATTGAGTCGGCAACCCTACCCGAGGAGGAGGAAACGGCATTTCTCGGTGTCCTCGACACGACCGCCATTGCGCAGCAACAACGTGACGACACTGAGTTGCTTGGCTTAATTAACTACTTGGAAGGCAGATCTCAGAAGGCGCCAAGAGTTTTCGCAAGAATATTGTCATCGTTTTGTTTACGGGGTGGAGTACTTTACAAAAGAAACTTTTCGTCGACAGGATCCGCCTATCTGCTCGTCATACCAGCAGCCCTTCGTACCGAAATACTCAAAGCATGCCACAACGAGGTGACCTCTGGCCATTTGGGTTACATGAGAACGTTGGCCAGAGTACAGCAAAGGTATTACTGGCCGAGACTAACCACAGCCGTGAAGCACCACGTTCGTACCTGTCTCGACTGCCAGTGACGCAAGTCACCACCGACTAAACCAGCTGGCCTACTGGAACCCGTGCAGGTCCCAACAGCTCCATTCTACCAGATAGGCATGGACATTTTGGGCCCACTTCCTATTTCCACTACAGGAAACCGCTGGGTTATCGTCGCGACGGATTATCTGACCCGTTATGCCGAGACAAAAGCTATTCAGAGAGTTACAGCAGCGGAGGTGGCAAGATTTTTCATCGAAAATATTGTACTGAGGCATGGTGCACCAACCGTCGTGATCACAGACAGAGGAACCGCATTTACGGCAGCTCTCTTGGATCACGTCCTGATGCTGAGTGGAACAACGCATCGTAAGACCACTGTCTACCACCGACAAACAAACGGGCTGACGGAGCGTCTGAACAAAACCATTGAAGACATGCTTTCGATGTACGTAGACATTGAGCACAAAAATTGGGATGAAATCTTGCCATACATAACGTTTGCGTACAACACGGCCAAGCAAGAAACGACCCGCATGACCCCGTTCAGCCTCGTTCATGGACGAGAAGTACGAACTATGTTAGATGCGATGCTGCTGCACGAAAGTGACGACATCGACCCAGACGCCAACACGTTTACGGAACGCGCGGAAGAAGCTAGACAACTGGCACGTTTACGGATCCGCCAGCAGCAAGAGTACGATGCAGGCCGCTACAATGCTCACCGCAGAGCAGTTGTCTATCAAACTGGCGACAAAGTATGGATTTGGACACCCGTACGGAAACGAGGACTATCAGAAAAGCTCTTAAGAAGATACTTTGGGCCATACCGAGTGCTGCGACAACTGAGTGACGTCACTTACGAAGTTGTTCCCGACAATTCGTGTAGTACCAATCATCGCCAGCACCATCCTGAACTCGTTCACGTAGTGCGCATGAAGCCTTACGTCAGCGAGTGATTGCGTGAGACTTATCTTTTAACAAAAACTGCATTATTGACTTCGCATCGGGTCGATGCTCTTTGAGAGGGAGGCAAATGACCCGTGTCTACATGTGGACAAAAACGATGATGGGGGGGATTTAGCAGACACCAGGTAGTGGGCCTCTGGCTTGACGCGAGAACGAAGATCTTGTGGCTCAGCTGTTGAGAACACGCTGCTTTCGCTGCCTCAAGGCGTACTTGTGCTTTGTTCGCGTTGTACTGCGACAATATATAATATATATATATATATATATATATATATATATATATATATATATATATATATATATATATATATATATTAAATTGCCTCGTATTTATTCAACAGCCACTTTGAATGAATCAGTGTTTTGAGTTTCGCACGTGAAGGATCAAGCAATACTTCATACGCCTTTTTGTCTCGTTTTCGTGTTTTGTTTTGCCTTGATTTACCACTACGGTGCCGTATCACGTTAAAGGTTCGGTTGGCCGTGCAATGTAGTCCCCCAGTTCTTTACTCTGCTGTGTACCTTACTCATGTTGTGTTTTCTTTACTCTTCTTTACTGTTTTCACTGTCAAGTCGAAAGCCTTACAGGCCCCCTCAAACATGAAGATTGACCTACTGCATCCCGTGCCGGCGGCGTCAGCATGTGACGCACAAAGTTATCTTCTCGTGCACTTGACGCATTCGTATAGAAAATTACCTTTGCACGCTTTTAAATCTTGCTCAAGTTTTGTAGAGCCTTTTGGTGCGACCTCTCTCACGCCGTCACAATAGCCCGTCACCCTAATGGTATCGCTGAAGTCTTTGTTCTATGCAACAGATGTGTGCTGTGAATTGCGCAAGCTGTGAGGAGCTGCCTGTAGCTTCGCCTGTATGCCATATCAGCTCTACCGTTTCGGTCGTTCAGAGTCTGTATAAAAGAAAACGGTAAGCATTTATCTCGTCAAGCTTCTGTAATTCTTGCTGACAAGCAACGACGAAGAGGCGGCCAGTGCGCTCATCTTCAAAAAATGCATCAATTTCCGCTGCAGCTATGTCAAAAGGGCTCAAGCACAGTGTCGATGCTGCCTCAACAGGTTCCAGCTCAGCTGACGGTTCCCGGTGACGCTTGGCAGAAGGACGAGCTCTGAATTTTTGTGCACTATGCAAATATGCCGTGAGACCGCGGAAAATCTTCGGCGCAGCATCAGCAAACGTTTTGTAAAGTCGCGCGGTGACTTCACAACACCTCCGATTAGCATGCACTGTTGCACGTGAACGATGTCACTCTCAGTGAAGTGCTTTTCGCACACGCGCACATTTGGGTAATCAGATGTGAAACCAGCAATTTATTGTCGCGGCATTGCGCGCTTTCACTTTTTTTTTTCGCTGTTCACTGTCTCTTGGCAGAGAGAACTTCGAAAATTTTTCGTAACTTCTTTTGTAACCCGATCGACAATCAAATACACAGCAGGCATAAGGCATTTTTCTCGAAATTCAGGCACGTCACACAAAGCACAATAATAATCATACGGTGAAAAATGCGCGACGACACGCCACAATATTATGCAGTGACTCCGTAGCGGCACGAGCAGCCAGCTTCCCTCCGGTCCGGATGCCCCGCGCGGCCTCCGCTCGCAGCGCACAAAGCTTTCCCGTAGAGTTACGGCGAAGCTTCACGAACAGTGAACGTATTGAACAACTCTGGTATTACATAGTCCAGCCGGCTCCATTGCTTTCGGAGTATTGTGAGCTTCAATATTGTAAGCATTGCCTGTCTGCTTTCTGATCTACTCTGCTTTTCTCTTTTCCCGCTTAGACGATGCATGAGGCCCGAAAACATAGCTTTAGAGTGCCATGCACGCGGCAACGATGTCATTTTAATATTGATGTTGCCAGCAGTCGGCAAATAGAGCTTTATGAGATGAATTGTTGTTAGTTCAGGCTTTTCCTCTCCTAAAGAGTATGCTTTCTGTTCGTCTCTGTGGAAGTTGCCAGCTGTCCGTTTTCTTTGTCTTTTGTCTATTTCTGTGTATACTAATAATCAATAAATAAATAACGTGAACATTAACGTGATTTTACTTTCAAATACAACCAATCGACACTATTCGGTAGCCTGTTTATTGTTTGAACACCGTGAGGAGGACCCGGCATGGGTCTGAAAGGTGTGCATTAATGCTACACCACCATATATGTCAATGTTTTGTGCGATTATTCGTCGTAAAACGCAGCACATTAACCATGAGCCAAAGAAAATCAACACGTTGTGAATGGACAGGTTCACTACAAAGAAAAAAAGTCACGGTTACTCCTTCACCGAATATCACACTCATCCCGTTGTTGTCGCGAATGATTGATCTATAATCCACTGTCACTCTCTTGCATATATTATTTCTATAAAAAGTCAGGACTTAGCTCAATATCTGAATCGTGTTTCCAAGTACAAACCATTCATGAACGCACTTACTGTTTCACGTCAATGTCCTCCTCATTCTCCGCCGCCTTTTTCAGATGCTGCGACGTTATGACTGCACAGTCTTCGATCAGCGAATTCATCTGCGTTTTTTTTTTTTTCATCGCTTATGAAACTTCCATCATGGTTCCACCCTATTAGTGCATTCATCTGGTGTTTACCAGGTTCCACACTCTGTCATACAAACTTTACAATGGTACGCTAAACTAAAGGTTCTTGTAAGCAATTCGAACAAGTCTTTCTCGAAATTTACGCCAAGGAAGCACGCCGCCAAGTTCATATATACGAGCGTATACTGCCATACAAGACTTGTGCATGAAACACGAGGCGTGGATATCTTTATTAATTGCAAATGATTCACCACATGCAGCTGACCCAGTAGTGTTACCCGTGCACGTTCATGTAATAGCTGATTACGCTTGCTCCACCTTCGTTCCAGAGAAACAATCCACGTCCCTTTGAAGTCACACAATTCTAAAAAAAGGGCATCTACTAAATAATCGTCCGAGTCTTCTATTATTGCACTGTTGCCGTTTACTAAATATCAAATAAAACTATAATAACATTATTGTCATGCGTTGGTTATTAACTAACAAAGTACAGCAGCATGTGGTGGCATTGTCATGCATTGACCATCAACTATCAAACTAAAACTGTGATAGCCCCTTGTCACCTTTCTTAGCTTTCCCGTGGAAAACGCTGGACTCGAGGCTGGTCGAATCTTCCGCCACTGATCCACGGGAGCAACGCTCATCATGTTGTCTAGCATCGGGTCGAAGAACTTGAACGTCTGCGAAAGGGGAAACGGGACACCTGTAACTGAGATACCTTTGTTGTCCTTTTCAAAAAGCAAGGCTGTGGCCCTTTCCACCTTTTCACGAAAGTGAGTTCATGTGACGACAACAATGTTTGAAACTGAGGTATGAATAATTGTTGATAATAATGACTGTTTGAGGTTTACGTTCCCAAACCCCGATACGAATATGAGGGGCGCCGTAGGGGAAGGCTGGAAAAATTTTGACCATGCGGCATTGTTTTAGCGTGCACTAAAATCTAAATAAACTGTTCTGTAGCATTTCGCCTCCACCAAAACGTGGCAGCCTCAGCCGGTATTCTATGTCGCGACCTTGGGGTATACCCCCCTGGACCACCACGGCCGTTCATGAGTTACGAACGAAGAATAACAGCGCAATACTCTCGTTACTCCACCTGGCTACGTAGTCTGGAGTTGAAGTCTGGTGTTTTGTGTCTTCCTATACTGCATCGTGCCCATGTATTTGTTCGCCGGTACAATGTTTAGCAGTATTCACGATAACTGGTGTATCATTTGCGGCGTATTGAGTGTGGTGAAGTCGCAGAAAGATCGGTTTCTCAATATTGTCGTCCTTAATGGGAAAGAAGGGACACGTGCTTTGCAGGAGCAGTCATGTTTACACATCCCAAGTCCTTTCTCTACGTCACAGTGCATGGGGGTGTAAAGCTCTGGCACGTGACGTACCCTCCGATTAGGCAGAGAAGGAAAATCCTTGACCAAGACTTGCTTCACCAGTTCGGGTTCGGCGACAAAAAGGATCCTCTTGCCTGTCTCGAACGTGCTGCACAGATCATTACGCCGCACTTATTTGTGTACAACACCGCTCCCATCAGGGGAGCAAAGTTGACTCGGCAGCATCTGGTTAACTGATTTTTAATGCACACCATTTCGCAACCAGCTATTGCCATAACGAATTGTGCAGTCTTATGACCCTTAACCAGCGTTAGCGTTTAGTGCAGTTTCTGTTTCACAAATCACGTGACTGATCGAATGCAACCAAGAGCATTACTGCCACTAACACGTTATCTTCTGGAATACAAAAAAGCAGGAGGAGTGAGGGTGGGGATGAGGGGAGCTTTTTTACTGTATATCTGAGCACACTCAAGGGACCTCTGCTCTCAAGCTGGAGGAAGAATAAAGTTAGGCGTTTTTGTATAACACTATGATGTCCAAGCACGTTTACTATATATATATATATATATATATATATATATATATATATATATATATATATATATATATATACTAACGTTGCTAGTTAATATTTGGTGCCAAGCCAACGAAAGTCTCTGCTGACCAATTTCCAAAGCACACTTGTATCTGCCATTCACTAAAAACATTAACAGTTTTCAGTGCTTGAACAGGATTTCTGAGACATCGCTTTCACGTATTCTTACACGTCGGGCTTCAAAGGCTTAAACTGAAACTCGCTTGCGAAAGCGTTGGAACCCCGAAATAAAATATATCGTCATAGCAGCAAAGCAAGCTCACAAACCCAGATTTTTTGCTAAGCTAAGAAAAAACCTCTTTCTTGGCGTCTGCTTCATAAGAGTATTTATTTATTTATTTGCACTTGCGTTTTTTTAATTATTATGGAACATTCTGCAACCACGGATATGTGGAAAGATGCTAATAAAGGTTCCAGAAAGTTTTTACACCTTTAGTTACTTCAATTTTCGATGAAAGATCTAATTCTGACTGACGGACTCACCCAAATAACTTTCCATACTTCGTATAGCGTGCGGTATCTAGCAAATGAAGAGGCTGTAAAATAAGAGGAATGAAGGAGGAGGAAGAGAAAAAAAAAGAAACAAGGAATAAGAGGACATTGCAAAATTGTTCGGTTACACAGCGTGTGTCTTACTTGCAGTGATAAACTAGACCGCTCTTCAGTGAACTTCCAGACTGCCCTGGTGTCAATAAACGCTAAGATTTCGGTGAGAAGGCCGTAACATTTGCACCGCGAATGTATCCTGTAGTATCGCGAGCAATGCGAGCGGAAACAAGATCCCGCGCGGCAAATACACCCTCAAACCCCGATTCTCACCGGTACTCGCCGATTGTCACCGTGAAAAATAAAGCTGTCACGTCCGACAGGTGTCCGTTTTCGTGACACGCAGGGCACGTGACACATATAAATGCTTCGAGTTGTACCGAGTGCTGTAGCGTCTGTTGCACAATACTAATGGAGCAACTTCGAGCGTGCCAGACTCTATCGAAGAAGAGGAAGCTGAGGTGGTGTCGAGGGCACGGGGCCTCGCGCACGCATTCGGTGGTAGTTCGCTTCACATTAAGCACCACACTTGCCTATAGGCTATCGGTAATCTTTCTGTTATACCTCCATCATTCTAAATCTGAACAGTAAATTTTAGAGGCACTCGATTCTTGGCCAATCTCCCACAGTGGGCATGCGCCACTAACAATAGGAGAACAACAACAACTTCGCTTCTAGCATCGACAATAAACGGACGTCTTTCTGATACGTACAGGGAATCAGTCATTACGCTACAGCGCCCATGCACTGCAGAGAGTGTCACTGTTGTCTGAATCCTTGTTTTTCTCTTTTAGTTATTTGCTGTATCTATATATCAATGTGCGCACACGCACAGGCGAATATAGGAATGAGGTATTTTGTGCGCAGAAATACATAGCTCATTGTCCTGCACTGCGTAACTTATCTGCCGTATCAAGTTGAGCGCCCGGTGGCAGTCTTGTATCAGCACTATGGAGGCCGGAGTTTCAACAGCCGGAGGTACCATGTCGCCATTTCCCCTTTGTTCTTAGCGGCCAGTGACTACGGCGCCTTAATGCCAGCGTTCCCTCACTCACGGTAGTGTGACACTGACTGACTGTAAATCTTCGTTTTCGTGATTGATATGTGGGGTTTAACGTCCCAAATCCACCATATGATTATGAGAGACAACGTAGCGGAGGGCTCCGGAAGTTTCGACCACCTGGGGTTCACAACGTGCGCCCACATCTGACCACACGGTCCTACAACATTTTCGCTTTCATTTGAAATGCAGCCGCCGCAGACGGGATTCAATCCCGTGACCTGCGGGTCAGCAGCCGAGTACCTTATCCACTAGAACACCCCGGTGGGGCAGTCCTCGTTTTCTGTTAGTGAGATCTCGAGGTAGGTCAAACAAATAAGTATTCTGAAGTCTTCAGTTCGAGAACCCAATTTGGGCCTCCTAAGCGTCACGAGAGTGACTGTGGCGCTTGACACTGCATCGTTAAAAAAGAAGAAATACTGGAATATAACGTAGTGGGAAAATACTTTTTAGCTCATGTAAAGTTGTTCGGGGGAGCTGCATAATCGAAGCTGCTTCGTAAAATAGCGATAGATTTTCATGTACAGGAAAAAATTCTTAGCGCGTCTATATAGAGTGTCATAATTGTAAAATTGCACCAGGCGTCAAGACTTGCGAGCTGCGCAACGATTGGGCGGTTTAAAGCTGCCCACCCCTTACAAAGTGTGCAGCTGCGTGTGGCACCTTACGGACCGATACTTCGCCCATTGGCAAAAGGGGGAATTATGGCATCGTAGGGTGCTTCGCTACACTGTACTTGCCATAGGCACACCGAGATACTTTGAAATGGTCAATTTAACGCGCACAAACGTTCTTCTCCTTGTGACACGGTCGAAGGCAATGTGGCCCGATCACGCTATCATGTTGTACTCTTCACGACGAACCTCAAGTGGCCTCCGAGTTCTTCCTTCATTGAAACAGTGGATGCTTTTACCACTCTGCATGTATCAAGGAACCTATATAAGGGCGGCCGCTGCACATCCTCCAGCGTTTGCCACGTCCTCCAGTGTTCTCACTCATACTGCTTACTGTGGTACATAAACCCATTGTGCATGAAAATATTGTCACGGGGTCATGACGGCCTGAATCTGTGCCGAGTGGCGGTATGCTTTTTTTTTTGTCGGTGAAACCTGACCACATAACAAAAATATAAGTGAACTTGGCAATGTGACCTACAGTATTTATTGCTACAGACGCTAGTACACCTTATATAACAACCGTCACGTTTTTGTAAATCTGTCCGTGTTAAAAGCCAGAAGTTGCGGGGCTGCGAAGATATTCAAGTTTAAAAAGGTTTTTCACCTGCGAACACAACTTCGTGGTAGCCTCCGTCAAGAAATGCTTTTCAAGTGTCGTTCTGCTAACTTGTATGTCAGTATTTTGCTAAACATGCGAATTAAATGCTATCATCTGGCCGTAACGTGAACTAAAAACTGTATATATCATACTCTCACGCTAAGAAAAAAGCTACATATAAATGTATGCACAGCTGAATTCTGCCTAATTACCAAATGCATCTTTTACAGTTAAAAATATACCAATCTGGATACAATAGAGCTTAACGGCAAGATCATAAACACCGGTATGCACTCGGCAATGTGGATACCGAGATGTAGTTTTCACTAACGAACTGCCTTGCAGACATTGCCTTAATCATTGAATTGACACATATACGCAGTTTCGTGGCTTACCTGAAACATGAGTTTCACCGTGGGACTGAATATGAGAGCGAATGGCTCTGACGTAACATTCTGCTTCTTCCAGTAGTTGCGATCCCGAGTAGCGTACCTGCGAAAGTTGTAGAAATAACCTTACTTCTTTCATATTTTTCGTAAAAGTCGATGCTTTCAACGTAGCGCCTTTACGATGACCCTGTCTGCCTCCTTTTCTGAATTAACGTGCACCTGGGAAATGGTGGGTTCGTGTACAGCAGATTGAACATGCCATAGAATGAGCATGCCATGCTCAAGTCCACGCGTATTCGTTTGTGTATTACAGTGAAGCTGCATATACCCTCTCTGCTCACCAATGCTGCTCTGAAAATGAAGTCGTCCACTTACGAAAGCGCAATGTGTCACAGAAATTGAACGAATCACACTATTCACCAGTGATGCACTAAAAATGAACAAAGAAACACACGGGCGGCATGCACCAATTTAGATTTTTGGACAGGCATAAGCGATAATTAAAGAGGGCCTTATTGAAACGTCAGGAATAATTTGTGGTCTACAAAGGGACCGCAAATTTCGGCTTCTTTGTTTAACCATCTATACGGAGTGCTTGATTTTATTTATTTATTTATTTGTTCATTTATTTATTTGTTTTTGTTTGTTTGTTTGTTTGTTTGTTTGTTTGTTTGCAGAGATTCAGTCGAAGTCATAATATGAGCGCCTCATGACGCCCGGATGAGCGAGTTCGAGTCAACGGCCCTACAAAGTGAAGGACAAGATACCAATTCTCGTAAAGTGTCTTGTAGGTATTCCCTCACATTACGGCAAAGCTGACATTTGTTCCACGAAATAGCTGTCTTAGTGCAGTCATTAAGCAGTCATGTCTCGCATAAATGTAAGCGAACATTATTGCACAATTGTTGACTACGTCTTGGGCTCGCAAAAACATGTGGAATAGTGCGTTTCGTAAGCATTGTTTGTCCCTTATACGACAGAATTACAGAAGGAAACTGAGGCTTGAAAATGTCAAGCCAATGACAGACAAATTCCAATGTTTCAAGTCGTCTTCATCGGGGTGGTATGCCCTGGCACAGACAATCTTTCTTTTTTCCGTAAGGTTGCCTGTATCATTTTTTTCTAGTTTGACTTACTATTCTTTTTTCTCGCGTTTCTCAAAACTTGCTTGGGTCAGAAAGTGGTATAGGTAGTTAGTTGCACATGAGTTGACTACAAATGCGTTTGTGAATGAAAATAGCATTTTGGCTTGGAAATCGCACGAGATGCGTTCGTGTACTCGGTAGACTTGGACAACTTGGATTGATTCATGTGCTTTAAAGGCTATTCACATATTTGTTGTCAGAATTGTGTAATGAACAAGAACAATAAACGTGATGCTGAGCACAGGATATTGTATTGAACTGGTAAAGAAGAATTGAGCTTAGAAGCGTTAGCTATAAATTTGTGCTAGTGGGTAGCAGAAAGCGCCCGATTACCCTGAAGCCAGCGTGTCAAGTTATTCAGTATAGACGTAGAATACGCGTGAAAAGGTTGCTGCTCTCAGTGACACAGAAGTTATGCATTGCACGTCTTTCATTAAATCAATCACTCCCTTTTAAGTGACTATTTTTTGCGTGAGCCTACTGCAACTTTTTGCTTGCACATTCTCTTAATAAACGCTGCACCTTCACCCTTTCAATTGATTTGATTGATATGTGGGGTTTAACGTCCCAAAACCACCATACGATTATGAGAGACGCCGTAGTGGAGGGCTCCGGAAATTTTGACCACCTGGGGTTCTTTAACGTGCACCCAAATCTGAGCACACGGGCCTACAACATTTCCGCCTCCATCGGAAATGCAGCCGCCGCAGCCGGGATTCGAACCCGCGACCTGCGGGTCAGCAGCCGAGTACCTTAGCCACTAGACCACCGTGGCGGGGCTCACCCTTTCAAGCTCTTGCTTTGCTTTCCCCTAATTTAATTAAACACCCACCACTTGGCAGGCTGCCCTTTCTACTTGCCAACGTTGCACGTCTTGAACGTTACTTTTTCTCCTGCCTCTAATAAATAATCACAAATACTCACAGGTACAAAAGAATGCAGATCGTTGCCGCGAATATAACCCAATCCGGTAATCCCAGGAAGGTCGCCATAGTCCGCACGCTAGTCGTGGCTTCTAAGCAAGCGCGCACACGTTCGCAGCAGCCTTCCCATGTAGAAGAAGCCCACGCACAAGGAACGGATTCGCTTTCCGTGAAAGGCGCGTCGTTGCAGCTCGCCGACGCGCGCGCCCCGAATGCGCGAAGCGTTGCTTCCGCGGCGGCCGCTGCGCGATAGTGGCGCTAGCGGTCTCGACGCCGTTAGCGAGCCTACGCCTGTGTTGCCTTGAATACGCGGCGATCTTTCCGTTGTGTTCAGAGAGTGGCGGGAGGGGGGAATCCGGGGAGAACGACGCGAACGGCCAGTTGTCAAGGTCGCTTTCTGCCTGTGTATACAGTCGAGGCGCCACGTGCTTAATGTTCGCATGACATTGGGTGAAACGCACCACGCGTGCTTCAGTTGGAAATATTCCCGACGTTATACATTTCTTCTTCGCGTCACCTCTTTCTCTGTCTCTCTTTTTCAATTTCGGCAGTGTTTACATTCAATGGGTATCAAAGCAGGCTAAAAACACAGGAAGGAGATTCAATCACACGTAATATAAAACCGCATCCGCAGGCCCCTTTTGTAACGTTTGTATCAATGCAGTTAACGTGGAAAACAATATCTGGGTCCCATACCACGCCACTGCAAGCTCTGCCTCGCCTAAAAGCAACATACCACCGCTAGGATCACTCTCTTTGCTTGAAATGTTGTATTCATGGGACATTGCACCGAACCCTTCCGGACTGTATAATAAACAAAACTCACTTGCTTGCATGTCAGGGACATTCCCTTTTAAATGTTGCGCCGACGCAATGGTCTAGTGACTGAGGTACTCGGCTCCTGACCGTAGGTTGCGGTATCGAATCCTGGCTGCGGCAGCTGCATTTTCGATGGAGGCGGAAATGCTGTAGGCCTATGGGCTCAGGTTTGGGTGCACGTGAAAGAACGTCAGGTGGTCAAAGTTTCCGAAGCCCTTCACTTCGGCGCCTCTCATAATCATATGGTGGTTCTGGGACATTTAACTCCACATATCAATCATCAAACCCCTTTTAAATTGTGTCTTACACTGCATTTTGAGACAGCAGTTCGCCGATAGGTCAACTGGATTTTGCCTAAGGGCAACCTGTCTAACCAAAAGGAAAAAAAACGGCTAAGCTTGTACGATAAGCCTCACGAGGCTTGACATAGTGAAATTGGGTGGTTCACAAGACTAATCTGGCTTCGTCTAAGTTGTTTGTAGCAGGCGCGTAGCCTTTTTTTTTTTTTTGAGGGGGGGGGGGGCTACACTGATTTCGGGAGGGGCACCCCCTTAAAATGGCCATTTTTCGCTCTCTATGCAATGGCAAAAAAGGTTTTGGTGGGGGGGGGGGGGGCACGTGCTTGGTGTGCCACCCCCTGGCTATGTCCCTGTAGGCCTTAGCTAGAGGTTGTTTCTAGCTTTTTTCTAGATCCTTGCTAGGCTTTAGTTAGGTGAAGCTCGGTTGTTGTAGCGACGTTGATTTCCAGCACAGAGAAGTTTGAGGTAAAGCACAGACAGCCGCAGACACGACACGGATGTCCGAACTCCAGAGACCGAAACCAAGCATTCGCATCTCTCAAGATCCCCGTGTCGTCGTCTTTGGCGTATAGGCCTAACATCGCATGCTGGTATTTCTCTCGGCTGCCGTTGCCTTTCACGTGCCCTAGCATTCACTTGGTGTCTTCGGCAAGCCGCCGTCGCTTCGCAGCCATTTTTGGTTTGCCTTAGCTGTTGCCTCCTTCATTTCGAGTGCACAAGTGGGACGTGGCCGATTCTGTAGCACATACTCGTTCATGATTATGATAGTCATTTGGTTCGTCGAACGAGGAACTGTTCGCTAAGCATCTCCGCTGTTACAGGTTCGTTGACTCCTTCCATAATGCATTCGTAAAGGAAAACCCTTTTTGTGCGCAGAGCCAAGAATGCAAATACACAATAGCCTAAGCAGCTACTCTGTTTCATTAGGGAACGCTGCAATTAAAACGTGCGGCCATCTTGGTGGTAATATTATAAATGAATGTAAGCAATAATAAAAAAATTGTTTGCACAGCACAGCTTTGGCGGGTGTGCTGTGCAGAAATTTTGAAGACCGCAAACCACGCGTAATATTCCTAGTGGACACAGGCATTGCCTGTAACCTTGTAACCATGCACTATAAAGAATCCGCTTAGGCCTTCTTTGCGCCGGAATTTTTTATCACTCTGGGGGACGACTCTGGGGGCGTCGTCAAAAGTGTTATGAGGTGAGAGAAGGCGGCAGCTTGAGTGGACCCCCACGAAAATGGAACGCCTTTCTTCAAAAGATCGGTAAGTGGTTGGGCGATTGCCGCAAAATCTTTCACGAACCGCCTAAAGTAGGAGCAAAGTCCCACAAAGCTCCGGACATCTTTGGCGGATTGGGGTACTGGGAAACTCGTGACGGCACGAATTTTCTCAGGGTCCGGTCTCACACCAGAAGCATCGACAAGGTGGCCCAGCACGGTAATCTGTCGGCGGCCGAAGTGACACTTCGAGGAGTTCAACTGGAGGCCAGCTTTGCGGAAGACGTCGAGAATGGCCGACAGACGCTCAAGGTGGGTCTCAAACGTAGGTGCAAATACGAGGACGTCGTCTAGGTAACACAGGCATGTTGACCATTTGAACCCGTGTAGCAGAGAGTCCATCATACGTTCGAACGTGGCGGGGGCATTGCATAGACCGAAGGGCATAACCTTGAATTGGTATAGGCCATCTGGAGTGATGAAGGCGGTCTTTTCTTGGTCTTTCTCGTCTACGGCAATCTGCCAATAACCAGAACGAAGGTCGATGGATGAAAAGTAGCGTGCGCCGTGGAGACAATCGAGGGCGTCATCAATACGTGGTAAAGGATACACGTCCTTTTTGGTGATTCGATTTAGATGCCGGTAATCGATGCAAAAAACGCCATGTGTTGTCCTTCTTTTTAACCAGGACGACGGGTGACGCCCATGGGCTTGATGAGGGCTCAATAATGCCTTTAGTTAACATCTTATTCACTTCAGCTTGAATAATCTGGCGCTCCGACGCGGACACGCGATACGGTCGACGGTGAATGGGAGCAGCATCACCGGTGTTGATGCGGTGCTTTACAAGAGAAGTTTGGCCGAGTGGGCGGTCGTCAAGGTCGAAGATGTCACGGTAGGAAGCTAGAAGGCGTGCGAGAGCGGCTGATTGCGCTGGGGGAAGGTCAGGGTCGATCATGGGACGTATTGACATGTCGAGGCATGTGGCATCGAGTGGGCGACAAGGAAAATTGGGGCATGCGTCGGCTGCGAAAGTGGTGACGTGATCGTCGGCTAAGGACCGCAACGTGGCAATTAGGATGCCTTCAGGGAGGACTTGCTTTGTGAAGCCGAAATTTATGACGGGTAGACGGGTCCGGTTGGAGGCTACAGTTACGATGCAGTGAGGGACGGTGACGTCACGTGCCAGTAGGACATCAGGAATCGGCGTGACGATGTAATTCCCATCCAATACGGGTGAGGTCGTGGCGAATTCGGGTGAATGTGAGGGCTTTAGGCGGTAAGCGGAGGAAGTCTGTGGCAGAAAGGCCGTGTTGAGGTTCAGGGTGAATATCCGGCTGAAGAGGAAGGTCTAAGCAAAGAGTACCAGCGGAACAGTCGATCAGAGCAGAATGGGTCGACAGGAAGTCCATCCCTAAGATGAGGTCATGAGGACAGTTCTGGAGCACCGTGAATAGAACAGGGATGTAACGGTCGGCGATGCGTATGCGAGCCGTACACATGCCAATGACAGGAACAGTGCCGCCATCGGCCACACGTACAGCTTCGGTAGCAGGGGGCGTGAGTACTTTTCTTAAGCGGCGGCAAAGATGAACGCTGATTATGGACACATGAGCGCCAGTGTCGACTAGTGCCGACAGAGAAATACCGTCCACGTGTACATCGACAAGATTTTTGTTCGTATGAAGCGTCAATGGAGGGTTTGGTTCAGACAGGGATGATGCAGCACTACCTCCAGGGGCTGCACTGTCTAGTTTTCCGTCGGGTACGATGAAAAGTTAGGCGGCGAGTGATGGCGGCGTGGCTGGGGCGACGGGGAACGACGGCGTTGAGGGGACGGAGAGCGAGCAGGAAGGCGGCTGTTAGACGTGTCGAAAGCAGGGGCGGTACGGCTGGACGGATACCGGCGAAGATCTTCATATGGGCTATAAGGTGCGAAAAACTGGCTCCTATGTGGCGGCGTCCAGGAGGCACGGCAGTAGCGGGAGACATGTCCAACGCGGTGGCACCGGAAGCAGATCGGTTTGTCGTCAGGAGTTCGCCATTCCGCCGGGTTGCGAGATCGTGGAGCAACAAATGGGTCACGTCGAGGTGCATTAATGGGAATTGGTCTGGAGGAGGGGCAAGAGATGGGGCAAGCATCAGGGAACCCGCGGTTGGCGAATTCTTGTCGTACGACCGCCTGAATAACGGAGATCGCGGGGGTTGTCGGTATGGTATGTTCGAAAGAAGTGGGCTGAAGCGGCGCTGGACTTGCTGCTTCAAGTTCCCGTCGAACGATACGCGTTACACTCTGCTCAAAGGGCGGTGTGACGGTAGAATCGGAGCAGGTGGACGTAGCCGCCGTGTTTGGCAACCGAGAAAAAGGAGGGCGCACCCGACGGCTTTTTGCTGTTTCGAAACGGCGGCATTCTTGAATTACACGGTCGATGGTCGAGACGTTAGTGTACACCAGCAAATTGAAGGCGTCGTCCGCGATCCCCTTCAAAACGTGTCCAACCTTTTCAGCCTCAGACATCGCCTCGTCCACTTTTCGGCAAAGAGCGAGAACTTCTTGGATGTATGACACATACGATTCAGTTGGCGACTGGACACGGGTAGCCAGCTCCTGTCGTGCAGCTGCGTGGCGACCGGTCGGGTCCCCAAAGATGTCACGTAGCTTCTCCTTGAACGTGTCCCAGCTGGTGAGTTCGCACTCATTTGTCTCGTACCAGACACGCGGGGTTCCGTCCAAGTAGAAGAGAACATTAGCGAGCATCATGGTAGGGTCCCAACGGTGAGTTTGACTGACCCGTTCATAAAGGCGAAGCCATTTGTCGACGTCGAGGCCAGGTTGCGCAGAAAATGTCCCGGGATCACGTGGTGTTTGGACG